CCAGTAGTGCGACTTCACCTGCCCCAACAACCAAACAGGCACAAAAATAAAACATGGTTACCACAGAGGAGTAAACCTAGACAAACTGTTCAGAATTTCAAGTTTGGTAGTTTTCTTTAACTGAGGCTGGAGACTCTCTCACAAACAGACAAGCTGCTGATATCAAAGTGGCCCACGAACCACAAAGTGGAGCATTAAGGGACGTACACATCAGAGAAACCTTTGCACACTGAGTGGTGGAAAGACTTACCCCAAGTTTCAGATATGATCTGGGTTGCCTGTTGAACTGGAAAAGGAGAATGAGCAGCTCAGAAAGCAAAACAATTAAGACCAAAACAAACCCCAAATTGGTTTAAAGTTCTTTGCAAAGAACTCACCCACAGCAAAACCACCAGCAAATCATCAATGAACCAAGAACAGTAACAGATTTTCCAGAAAGGTTTGTCTACACAAATTTTGTAATACCCAGGTTACTCCTCCCATTCCCTTCCCTAAGATCCTGAGTTAAGACTGCATGGAAAAACCTGGAACATTCAAAAGAAGGGAAGGATGGGGAGAAAAGGAGGTAGGAAGTATGCACTGAAACTGTTGGTAAATGAAAGGGTCCTGGAGCTTCTTGGACTGGGGAGAAGGAGTGCTCAGTGGGACAGACAGGCAGGGATACTCCAAAGGGACTGTCCCACATTCTGCTCCCTGGGAGTGCAGCAGGAAGCAATCCAGAGCCAACCAGGGCATTTGCAAGTACAGCCACCTCAAAATGCCAAAAGGTGTTTAAAGGAGCTTAAATCTCAGCCCACAGCAAGTGGGGAAATTCAGATACCTGGAGACTCTGAAAGCCCAGCTCTCCCCCCTGCATGAGCACAGCTGGGAGCCCCTTGGGACAGCACGGGAGGGCAAAGGCTTCTGATTGTCAGAGAGAGGCTGGGAACAGCAGGGGCTCTTTCATCACTTTTCACTAGAACGAAAACGTGCAACATTTGAGGAAAGACCTACGAGTAGCTCGGGTTTCACTGTATTCCCATGAAATAATCCCACTCTCACGGATCCACTCTGACAGAACTGAACAACCAGAGTGGGTGGGTGGCTCATGGCCAGGTGTCACTCCTTTGCTCAGGCTGCTGACCCAAGTTTTTGAGTCAGAGACAGACTCAAACCTGCAATACACCTGAAAAAAAATCCACTGCCTCAAGCTCTCTTTTAGCAAGTGTTTTGTGTCCAACCAATCATCCCTTTATAAACAAACTCTGCAGCCTCTCTACAACACACAAATACAAAATATTTAATACACATAGAAACATCCTGAAGTAATTTCATAAAGAAAGATTGTGCTTTTGTTTCATACAGAGCTATTGCACTTGCCTCCAGCTTGGGAAAGCCAAGTACACCAACACCAATCCTGTGAAGTTTAGTCACTGAGGAGAGAATCAAAGGAATGTCAAGAGATAAGTGCAAATGAAACAGGTGCTTTCAAGCACACACAAATGTAACCACTAAATTATTAAGAGGGAGATCTTTGATTTTCCAAGTAGAACTGTTAGAGACTAACTCTACAGAAATCCTTGGAACCAAAGATCTGAGGAAAGAAGTAACAGGCTTAATGCTCCCAGAGACATTTCACAGCCCGATACAGGCTACAGCTTTTCCCTGGGCGTCATTAAGGAATACTGTTGGATTCATGGAGTGTCTCAATTCCCACCCACCCTCAACTTCTGAGCTTCTGAATTTTCAGTACACAACAGATGCTGGTTTTCTGCATCAAATCAAATCCACACCCTCATGTCTTATAAAGACACATCAAGCCTAACAAATGGGTTTATTTCCTAGGCTCATCAGGAGTGATACTGCAGACACTAGCACTCGATCTGGGAGCGCGGCATCCTCCGTAAGCTCAGGGAGTATCGGTGGATCTCCTGCATCTGCCTTTCCTGCATCTGCCTGATTCTATCTTTTTGCCACATGAGATTTTGTGGCATGGGGTACCTCTGTGTTCCCTGCAGGCACCTGAAGGGGATTCTCACGTGGCAGGCAGTGGCTCTGCAGCGGGGCTGTGGCATTGGGGGCAGGAGCATCCAGCGCTTGCGCTCGGCGCAGTAGCGATAGGCCTCCTTCCTGTACTGCTTGTCAATGTCATCGCTGTTCTTCCAGCCCCCAATGATAAACACGTCATCTTTGTAGTAACAAATTGCTGCTCCTTCGATGCTCAGGACCTCGGGGGGCAAGGATTCCAGGATTTCATCCGAGGCCCTGCTGGAGATCTTTCCCTTGGCCTCCTCGTTGTCTATGGGGTAACTCTTGGGGCAGCACGATGCCGTGTGGTAGAAGTTGGTGCTGGCAACAGACATCTGGAAGGAGCAGTAGTTGTCGATGAGGGGCAGGGATTCCACGTCCTGCCACTGCCTGGTTTCAGCATCGTATCTGATAATAACAGCCCTGAGCCCGTCCTCGCTGTCACTGTCAACCGGGGTGCGGGCGGCCACGTACACGTACCGGTCCTCCACGGAGACAGCCTTGACATCCCGCAGGATCTTTGGTGCCGACTCCAGGTTCAGCCATTTGTCCTGCTCAGGATTATAAATGGCCACATCTTTAAAGCCTGGACTGAAATTGCCGTGCCCACCAATACTGTACAAGTTGCCTTTCACTTCAGTAAGGCCAAAGGAATGCTTCCTGGTGATGAGGTTTGAAACCTGCTCCCAAATATTTCTGTTTGGATTGTACCTTTCCACAGTCTTGGCAAACCCTGGTTCCATGGAGCCGGCCACATACACGTAGGACTCTGTCACGGCCACAGCGTGCCCATCCAGGTGGTTGTGGATGTGAGGCAGGTTGACCCACCTGTCCTCATCGATGAAGTAGCCCACGCACTCGCTCAGGTAGTCGCCGCCCTCGGACACGCCGCCGATGACCATGATGACGTCCATGTTCTGGCCGAAGCGCGGCAGCAGCGCGGCGGGGCAGGCCGAGTGCTGCAGGTTCCCCGACTGCAGGTTCTCAGAGCGCAGGGCATGGCTCTCCACGGCCTCGGACACCAGCTTCACACAGGCCTCGCTGCTCGACACCAGCCGCTCGGATTTCACGTGGCGAGTCAGGTACGTGGGTTTCATCTGAGACAATCGTAGCAGCTTAAAGAGATCTTCAAAGTACCTCTCTCTTTCCTCAGGGTTTTTCTGAACCCACTTCAAAACAGTCTCAAAGAGGATTTCTTCAGAGTCCACCGTGATCTCCGAGTCTGAGAGCCAGTCCCGAACAAGGTGAAATGGCAAAGTGTAGAACTCCTCATCTTGGATGACTTTGTGGAAGTTTCTCCTGATCATATCCTGCGCTTTGAGGGCCAGCTGATTCAGGGAATACATGTGGGCCAAGCTGTGAACCGCCACACAGTTGGAAAGGTTCAGCTTCTTCTTCAGAAACTCTCCACAGAAATCCTTCAACCGGGTCAGCAGAAACCTGAAGGACAAAGAAAGGAGTTACACATCCCTGGGGGTGTTCCAGGCCGGGTGGGATGGGGCTTGGAGCAACCTGGGATAGTGGAGCGTGTCCCTGCCCATGGCAGGGGGTGGAACGAGATGAACTTCTAAGGTCCCCTCCAACCCAAACCAGTGTGCGATCCTCTGCTGCAGTGACCCGGTCCCTGCCAGCCCCCGCCAGGGTCGCACTTACCTGTCCGCCATCTCCAGCACCTCATGGACGTTGCCGGGGCTCACGCGGATGGTGCCGGTGTACATGAAGCCGATAACGGCCTCCACCGTGTCGGGGTCGGGGCCGCCCTCCGAGCTCCACTTCTGCAGCTCCACGCGACCCGAGCGCGACTCCGCGAACCCCCCCGAGAGCAGCGGCGTGAAGTATTCGGTGGCGGCGGCCAGGACGGACCGGTGCGCCCGGTACTCGCGGGCCATGCCCGCGCCGCCGAAAGCCAGCGTGATGTCGCAGTACAGGCCGTGGCGGCGCTGCTCGTTCTGCCGCCAGGCCAGGTCGGAGCAGTGCGCCGGGCACCCGAACTCCTCCGCCTCAGCCTCCCCGTCCGCCGCGCTTCCCCGCGGGGTCCCGCGCTCCACCTCGGCCGCCGGCGGGCCAGGACCGGGGCCGGGACCGGGGCCAGGACCGGGGCTGGGACCGGGCTGCGGCTGCGGACAGGCCGCGGCCGCCGCCATCTTGTCGGACATGGCGGGCGGGGCGCGGCACCGCCCCCTGGCGGAGAGAGCGTGCGCCGCAGGGCAATGGCGGCGGCGCCGGGAGGGGAGCGGCGGCCAGCGCAGCGCCCGGGGCCGCCGAGAGCCCGCGGACCCTCGGCGCGGCACCCCACGAGAGCCCGCCTCCCTTAACTCGAGACCCCCATGCATCCCCATCGCCTCAGCCCTGGGCCTCCCGGGACACCGCGTCCCCTTACCCCGGACCCCTCAGGACTTTTCCGTATCCTCCGTCACCTCAGGCCGGGACCCCCCGGCTCTCCATCCCCTCAGCCCGGAGCTGCCGGGACCCCCCCAGCTCTCCATCCCCTCAGCCTGGAGAGTCCCCCCCGGCTCTCCATCCCCTCAGCCCGGAGAGTCCCCCCCGGCTCTCCATCCCCTCAGCCCGGAGCCCCCGGCACCCCTCGAAGCCTCAGGGAATCTTCATCATTTTTTTCTTCCCCGTGCCCTCCCTCCACCTGGGCAATTAGGAATTCTCTCCGTGGTACATTGGGTTTTTAATTACAACGCAGTGAAGTGTATAGGTGGTTATTTCATGTTTGGTATACACAGAGTGCAGTTCCCTAACTCTTGTATAATGCTATCATAATTAGCTTGTGTCTTTCTGTTTATTCTCTAGTTAACTAAAGTTTTATCTTTTTGACCTACAGTGAAACAGGCAAGGTGAAGTCTATATGCAGTTTGATTTTTATTTCTCCCCTTTAAAATCACCTGAAACAGAGGCTGAGGAGTAACTGCTTTGAAGGCTGTTAGGCTACAACCCCTTAGACACTGTTTAGGGACAACTCACAGAAGTCACACATGGAAAAAGAATAAATTAGTAATGTGTATTTATTTGCGTTTGGTTACAGTACACAGACAAGGAGGACACTGAAATTATTACTGAGATATTTTTGCAGCTGCAGATTACATGAGTGACAGTGCACAGAGCAGCAGTCAGAGGAAAGGAGAGGTTGTTTGCATAAATACAGACACTGGAGTACAGGGATTTCACAGTTTTCACAGCAGTATGTTACAACTTTACACTTTAAATTACTACACCAGCTTAAGTAACATTGGTTATACTTTAGCAGTGGTCCCAGGATTCAGGTACAATCAGACCAAGGATAAGAACATGGTAAACAAATTGAAAAACAACAGATGACCAAAAAAAAAAAAAAATCCAGAGTGATGGCTTATTGGAATGACAGGCACGTTCCCCTCATGGGAAAGGTACAGCTTGTTACCAGAGTTCAGTAAGGCATCCCTATGAGCCAAACTCTACCCCCCAAACCCTAAATAATCACTTCTGGAAACAAAATGAAATGAGAATAGAAAAAAATAAAAGTGTGAGAGACGGTATTAAATACAGCAGGTAACAGAGGGAATAGCACAAGTTTTGGTTTTATTAGAGTAAGTTTCTATCCTTATAAAACAGTCGCTTTGCACAGTTTGACCAGGCAGCTCGACGTCTCTGTCCCAATAATCATCTTTACACATCACAGTCCCACTGTGGCTGTCCCCTGGCCAGGTTTCTGTCCTGGTGCACCCCAAGGCCACCAGCAGCTTCTCACATGGTCATGTGCTCTGGTAGGACGTAGGATATGTCATCCCAAGGGTGACGGTACAGACCCTGCTTCAATCTCTTCTGGTCCAGGTAGTGCCCTGAAAGGAGAGTGGTTTATGTTACAAAATCCCCATCCCTGCTTTAGTCTTTGCCTTGAGTTGGATTTCTGAATCCCCTTGGGTTTCAGGTTTTTCTGGTGTTCCTGAGGCAGGGCAGCCCCAGGAGGAGGGAAGGGGCAGGGAGGATGTGGTAAACTCACCAATGAATCCCATACTCCTGCCCAGCACAAAGATGCCATTGAGAGCTCCTATATCAATATATTCATCTGCTTCTTCCCTGCAAAACAAAGGAAAATGATTCCTTAAGCAGATGATTACCAGGAGCCATTCAATCTCAGATGGGCTTCTGCTCTAGTGCCAGGAGCCACACAAATTCCCTGGGCAGATTTCTGCCCCCAAAAGCCAAGCCAGGCTGTTTCCTTGCCATGTCATGGAATTCTGCCCCTCAGGAGCTGGCAGTGCAGCTTCATAGGACCATGAAGCAAGAACAGCTTCCCCTCACTCACCGTGTGAAGGAGCCACAATTCCTGAGCACATCAACAAAGGCCACTCCAATAAAGCCATCTACATTCAGGATAAGGTTTGGTTTCTGCAGGAAATAAAACAGATGCAATAAAGATGTCAACAGTGCAAATGGTGTTCACCTGGCACCTTCCACTGGTGATTTGAAGGCTGCCTGTAGCTGGGGACACACCAGCCCAGCAGCTTGAGCAAGAGCTACACTTAATGGAAATGCTGGAAAATCAACCCAAAACCCTCCAGGGTCACCTCCCAGAGGTTCCTAGCAGCCAGCAGCCTGGGATTTACACCCAGCAGTGCCACTGTGGCCACACAGATGACGGTTTGGCTTGCTCAGCATTCTCCTGGTAGCCAAATGCCTTCAGCCTTTTTCAAACTGCAGCTGTACTTGGCTTCAACTCCACCCCAGACACAATCCCCAGCAATAATTTATGGAGCACTGCACTGAAAATACAGCTGAGGCCCAGGCACTTTCCCTGCCATGAGAACCAGAGTGCCCAGAACATTCAGTGCTGGTGCCCTTCACCTTGGAAGTTGTGATTTTTTCTACTTCGAGCGCGTAGTCCAGCAACGGAGTGGCAGGGAAGTGCTGCTTCACGTAGTCCTTGAGAATCTGAACTCTCATGTCAGGGTTGTTTATCTGCAAGTTCAGAGCACATTACAGTCAGTGATGTTGCCTCTCACTGATACTCTTTGTAGATTTGGGAGAATTTGGTCAATAGCTGCCTCTGAAACTTGCTGATTTTTTTTTCTTTGTTTTTACTCTTCCCCCACCTGTCCCTAAAAATCCCTCCAGTTTGTCCTAACGCAGTTTTCTTACTGATTTCACTCTGTGTCCAATGCCCATGATCAGCTTCCCTTCTTTCTTCATCTTATTCACAAATTCCATGGGGATAATCCCACTGTCAAAAGCTTTGCTGAACATCTTGGCTGCAGCATCAAGTGCTCCCCCAAACCGGTCACCCTGGGTGCAGAACAAAGGCAATTACATCAAAGGACTCCACAATTAAGATACAAACCCAAGATTATCTCCTCCATCCACCCTCCTGGTCTCTGGAATTCATGACATTAGAGGTGGGCAGGCACCTGAGAGAAAACATTTGCTTATCTCTCACATGAATGCCAATTTGGAGCCAGTGCATTTCTGCTAGAGACAATGTGGGGGAAAAAGCAATTCAGTGTCTGTTTTAGCAAATCTTGTCAGATTTCAGGCACCAGAGTCAACACTGACAGCAATTTGGCTGCAACAAAATATTTCTAGACTCAAAGGAGTCGAACTAGTCCAACTTATTGGAAAAATGAATCAGATTTGAAATACAGAGCACCAAACTGTTAGAGCTGAAATTCAAAGTGTGAGTGGACAGACACCACCATCTGTGACTCTGCAGCCAATCCAAAAATAAATAGTAATAAAACCTAGAAGAGTAATGAGTAACAAAGCTAAACCTTGTGAATATCAGGTACTCACAATTGTAAGAAGGCCTGAAGTGAGGCTTGAAACCAGATCTTTGCCAGCCCTGGCACAGACAATGGTGTTGTGTGCTCCAGACACGGCTGGCCCGTGGTCTGCTGTCACCATCAGGCACATCTCAATGAACTGGCAGGCGTACCTGGGTAACCTGGGCACAGACACCACATCAGTCAGGGACACAACACAAATGCAAATGTTTGTAAAGTCCCCAGCCCCTCCAGAGTTGAGGTGACACAAGTAGTCACAGAGTGTGAATCAGGCCTAGAATACAGAAGTTTCCTCAGTGCACCACAAGACTTGCGGAAAACTTCATCCTGAGATTAAAACACACTGTATGCAACTCAAAATGCTGATAGAGTGTTATGGAGGAAATATAGAGATGGCATTCTAGTGAATCTACCTTCACAAAGGAATCCTGGAGTTACTTTTTTAGCTTAAAAGTCCATTAATAAACAAGAAAAACTCCAAAGAATTTGCAAGAACCACCTCACCTCCTCTGAAACCAGAGCAGGCCTAGAACCCCTCCAATGCCCATCTCCTCTTTGAAGACCTCAGTGATGGGCATCCCAGCATAGATCAGCTCCTGGCCTCGCTCGTCACAGATGCTGGTCATGAAGGAAGCAGGTTTGCGGATCAGCCCCAGCTCCTGGAATTGCAGGGTAAAGGCAGGATGTTAAACACCCCACTCCAGCATGGAGGGGCAGCACAAGGCAGAGTGAGCAAACAGCAACACTTCAGGCTTCCCCTTTAGAGCAGCTTCCACAGCCCAAAAATCAGCACAGCTCACAAGTAACGCTACAAAGCACAAGGTATAACCTCAGCACGGCATGCAGAATCACAGCCAATGCCCTGTCTGATTCCAAGAAACCCAAAAGCTGCTAAACCAGCACAGCTCACCCTTGCCCAGGAGTAATCCATTGGCACAGTGGGAGGAGGCACTTCCTCAGCTGGTTCAATCACTCTTTTGGCCACAAGATCCTGGTACACAGACCTAGGGAGAGAATCCGTTCAGTAACTTGGGTCCTTCCAAGAGATCCAAGAGAGGTGATCTAACCTAGGCCTTAAAACTCCACAATAACTAGAATCTGCTTTCCTTAAGCAGAAATATATTCCCTATCAGGCCAGAATCAGTGTCCTGACAGCTTTTGTCCACTGCTGAAGGTGCCCTGTGAGTGTGACTTACTGAATGACCTCTCCCAGCTCATCAAAGCTCCGGGGAACAAACACTCCAGCTTCCTTTAAGGCTTTGTTCTTTGCTACAGCAGTTTCAGAGGCCTGGTTGGCACAAGCTCCTGCATGGCCAAACTGCACCTACAAACAGGAAAAGAGAGCACTAAGGAATACAGATTGTTACCTGCAGAGAGTGCAACAGAACAGAGCCCTGACTGGGAACACCAGTGGCTGCACATCTGTCTCCTCTGGGCTGCCAAAACTCCTGGTTGCAGTCAGAGCCAACAGGGATGTTCTCAACTGCAATCCCTCCAGGCTCATTCACTTTCTGCCTCCCTAAACTGCCCCACTTCAGAGCTGCTTAACATAGATCTTTGCCATCCAGAAACAGGCAGCTATTGGAATTTGTTGCTTTCCCTGGCATCTTTGGGGTCCCTTCACTAGTAAGCAGAATCCCCTGGAAATTTCTAGTGACAGTACTAGAGAAGCACAAGATATCTTTAACTTTATAATTTATATTTAGGAACTTTTGCATATTAAAGTTACTACTGCCAGTTCTGGAAGGTTTAGGTACAATGAGTGAAGTTGTGTTTTATTTCCTGTTGTGGATATATTCCTATTTTATGCATTTGCCCCCATTTTTACACATACCTCTGAGGAGAACATGGTGGCACAGGTACCAATGCACCAGCACACCACTGGCTTGGTGATCCGGCCCTCTTTAATACCCCTGCAGATCTTGTACTCTTCTGTGCCTCCAATCTGCAGGGAGAGAGAGATGGTTCCAAGCTGCACTTTTGATAAAACCAGCTCCAAAATATACAAAGAAGCTTTGCTGCAAGTTTTTCTCCTTTTTCACAGAATAATGGCTGAAGTGTCAGAACAAAACCTCCTGATTTTTCTTTTTCTTCTATTTATTTTAAATAGGGAAGACTATGCTTGCCTGTAGAATACATTCAATTTCTTTTGATGAAAGCAGCAAGAAATAAAATTTGGAATATTCAAGAACAGTAGAAGCTGCTATTTAGTATCCTTACAACCAGGTCAGATGCTCCCAAGACAAAAGCCACACACAGGTATTTCTCAGAGAGTTAAGTGGTCTCACTCACCTCCCCCAGAACTACAATCATCTTCACTCCTGGAGTATCCTGATAACGCAAGACATGATCCATAAAAGTCGAACCAGGATATCTGTGTGCAATCAGGAGAAATGATAGAAATTTATTTCATATACTTTTCTGAAAGAAAAGCTAACACCCAACCCGCTCTTCTGCTGCAGTCTGAATCGCGAACAGCAACACTCTTCCTTCTCCAAATCACCAACAATTCCTCTGCTGACCAACTTGAAAACCAGTGCCTGCTGAAGGTGCCAGCTCATACCTGTCCCCTCCAATGGCCACCCCCTCGTAGACCCCGTCAGTGGTGCGGGAGATGATGTTGTTGAGCTCGTTGGACATCCCTCCAGAGCGGGACACGTAGGCCACGCTGCCAGGGCGGTACAGCTTCGATGCCAAGATGTTATCCAGCATGCCTCCTGTGTTGCCTATTTTAAAGCAACCTGGCTTGATCCCACCAACCTGTAAGAGAAAGGTGTAAATTGTGAAACTCAGGAACATTTGTGTAAGGCACCATTTCCATAGAGAAGGGAGGATGGCAAAGACTTAAAGGTGAGAGAGTAGCATGCACTTCCTGTGAGTAAAGACCAACCTATAAGAGAATAAGAGAAAGGTGTAAAGCCCTTTAAAATCATGAAACTGAGGAACATCTGTGTAAGGCAGCATTTCCATAGAGAAAGGAGGATGGAGGATGGCAAAGACTTTAAGGTGAGAGACTAGCATGCACTTCCTGTGAGTAAAGACAAAGTGGATTGTAGGATGCACTTCATCCATTACAGAAAGCTGATCTGAAGGTTAAGAAAGACAGGAGAAGGTGGCCATCAGGACTTACAGTGGCAGGCCCAATGATGGTGACTCCCTTTTTATCAGCTGTCTTGATCAGTTTGCGTGTCAGGGCCTCCGGAATGCCCTCGGCAATAATGGCAATGGTGCGGATCTGCCAATGGTGGGAGAAAGAAAATCATTGATACCCCACAGAGCTGCCCCTGGTCAGGCCCCTGGGAGGTCACTCTGTACATTCTCATCCAGGAAGGCCCCAATGCATGAATCTGCAGGCTGCCATGATCTTCACAACAGGCTCAATGCTCTGCTCAGGGGATTTTCTCCCCCTTGCACATCAGAGCAGCACTGAAGTCATTACTGCTAACCAAGAAGCACCAAGATGCTCTTAAACAAATTGCAAGTCCAGCATTAGGATTTGCCAGGGATCCCCAGCATCCTCTTTACATTCTGTAAAGGGTTAGAATTGGGGGTTATCTGCTAACTCAGAAAACCAAGACAATTTGCTAATGCCACCATGGTTTAAGAAACACCAGTACCCTGCTGACAGGGTCATCTTTCTTCATTTGGGCTTCTTCTGGATCCTGCACTCACCTGAGGATAATTCATGGTTTCAACAGTGCTGTCATAGGCAGAGCGCAGGGACGCAAAGTTGATGAGAACATCCACCTCTGGGTGCTTCCTCATGGCATCTGACATGTTCTTGTAGACTGGGATCAGGATTTCCTTGTGGCCCCAGTAGAACTTCTGCCTGTGGTCACCACTGTGGGAGAGAAGATGGGAAAGCCCTGACCTGAAGGCTGCTGGAAAGGCAAAGGGACACAGCGCATGCAGACAGAGGAGTTTACAAACCCCATATTCTCAGTCCCTGAGACTGACTGAGACACTCACGAGCACGTGAGCGTGTCTGGGGAGGGACCATATGACAGCAGAAGGTTCTTCAGAGAATAGGACAGAGCAGCATATGGAAGGAGACGGGCTAATGGGGACAGAGGCATCCAGCAAGATGAGTAAGCTCTCCCACAGTGAAGTTACCAGAGCCTTAACTCTACTCCAAGCTGGAAGACAGAATGAGGCACAGAAAGAGTAATGAATGAGAGGCGTGCAAAGCTGTGTCACTGGGCTGGGGCTAACGCTGGACTGAGGGAACAGCAAACCAGTATCTGTAGTGAACAGCCAGGACAGCCATGGGAGGGCCAGTCAGCTCCCCAGTCCTGCTACAGGGGGATTCTGTGTCATGGACATATTTTATGAAAACTCCTTTTGCTAGGATCTTTTCTCCTGAGAAGCTGAGAGGCCTCAGAAATGAAATGGAAACAATAATTATCTGCTGCTGTGCAATGCAACAGGTGGATCTGTGATTGGTCTCATGTGGTTGTTTTTAATTAATGGCCAATCACAGTCCGGCTGTCTCAGACTCTCTGGTCAGTCACAAGATTTTATCATCATTCCATTCCTTTCAAGTCTTCTGATGAAATCCTTTCTTCTATTCTTTTAGTATAGTTTTAATATATCATTTTCTTTTAATATAATATATATCATAAAATAATAAATCAGCCTTCTGAAACATGGAGTCAAGATTCTCATCTCTACCCTTGTCGGGGTTGCCTGCAAATTCAACAATTCTGCCCATCCCACAGGCACTGGGGGGGCAGCACCTGGGAAGGTTTCACTGTTGGTATTTGTACATAGTAGATGCTCTGACTGGAACTGCAGTGAAGCCTGACTGAGCAGTTATTTGAGTGTGTGGATTCTGGCTGTGCTCCCATACCAGTACATTCGTGGCAGAACATTCCAGGTTTTGCCAGCCTGGCTCCCTCCAAAAGGTCAAGCAGAATCAGAAAATTACAGGTAGCCTTTAACTCCAATCCCTATTGCTTTTTCCTCCTTAATCAAGTGCAGCACTGCCAGAGGCTGCCACTCACATATGGACATGGCTGTGCCTGCACTCAGCACCCTGAGGTTTGCACTTGCTGAGAAGTTATTGCAGAGCTGCAATTACCATCAGAGCTGCAGAATAGCAGTACAAGGGCTTAATTGTCAAGAGGAGAAATTCTCTGCAGGACAGAGGCTGATTAGACACCAGCTCTCCAGGATGTCTGTAAATACCACAGGAATGAACCAAAGCTCCTGCCTGGCTCTGGGCTCCCACATCACTGTTCTGGAAGCAACAGCTGCTGTTTCCCTTGTCCCTGCCTGCCCTGTCCCACAGGGAGACCCCCACACTGAGGAGGAACAGTAAAACAGCTCATGCACACCCAATAGCCCTTCTCATGCCTGTAGGGATGGGTAAAGGAGGGTGAACACCACGAGGGAACTGCCTATCCCACCAAAGGATCCACAGGCCTCCTGCCTGCTAGGAAATCCCTGCTGCTATTGGAAAGAGTATGAACAAGATTTTTTTTTTTTTTAATTTTGTTTGGCTTTGGTTTGTCAGCAGAGCTGCTATGATTCAGGATAATATTTGGAGGGGTAATTCCTGCTGCTGCAGGCACAAATCAAGGTGTCTTGGACAAGCACACAGCCAACAGCAGGTGAGAGGAAGAAGCCTTACACAGCCTGCCTGCCTTTGCTGAGCCAGGGGGCTGGAAAGAAAGCCCAGGCAGCCAAACCTTGTCACTGTCACATTTTCTGAAAAATCCCTACACCAGAATTTCTTTTCCTAGGAAGATGAGAAGCTTCAAAGAAAAAGGAAAACAATATTATCTCATTTGCTTCTCCCTGTTTTGCTGCTTTGGAATTGTTTACCAACAGGTGCATGTTTGATGGTTTCATGTGAATTGTTTTTACTTAATGACCAATCACCATCAGCTGTGTCAGACTGAGGAGTCAGTCACAAGTTTTTCATTATGATTCTTGTTAAGCCTTCTGGCTGTATCCTTTCTCTATTCTTTAGTATAGTTTACTATAGCATTCTCTAACATAATAACATAAAATAATAAATTAGCCTTCTAAGAACATGGAGTCAGATTCACTCATCTCTCACCTCATCCTGGGGACCCTGCAGATACCACAGACATCTTTTAGAAAGTGGAACTTCAGTTCTGTGGTGAACACTAAGCTGTTTCAACAGCACAGCCCAAAATCAATGTTGAAGAAAGCAGCCTACAATGCCAACCCAGGGGTGGAAGGGAGCAGAGGAGAAGGTGTTCCAGCAGGGATGGAGACCAGGGCAGAGCCCCACTAAAGAACCACAGAGACTCAGAGAGGAGGAAGGTCACAGAAGAGCTGGAGGGAAATGGGAATGTGACACAGTCACAGGTACTTACGTGAAGGGATAAACCATGGCAGCCACTGAAGGCTCATCCCTGGAGCAAATATAATCAAAGTCCAGCATTCCTTGGACAGCCCTGGTCTGCATCCCCCACACAATGGCCTTGGTGTGACGGCTGAACAGGGTTGTGGCTTTACCTGCTCAGAAAGAGAGGGGGGGGAAAAAAAAAATCAATCTGTCACCATTATATTTGCTGAAAAATCTCTTTGCCTAAGATTTTCTCCTGGGAAGCTGAGAAGCCTCAGAGAAAAATGAAAATAATAATTATCTGATTTTTTTCTCCTGTGTTTTGCTGCTTTGGAATGTGGTTTGAAGATTGTTTATCCAACAGGTAGCTGTTTCATTAATTTCATGTGAATTGTTTTTACTTAATAACCAAGCATGGTCAAGCTGTGTCAGACTCTAAAGAGAGAGCCACAAGCTTTTTATTAGTATCTTTTAGCCTTCTGTCTGTATCCCTTCTCTATTCTTTAGTATAGTATTCCTTAATATAACATAAATCATAAAATAACAAATTAGCCTTCTAAGAACATAGAGTCAAATTCATATTTCCCCACTTCGATGGGGGTCCCTGAAAATACCACACCAATCCCACTTCAAACTTGAGCAAGACACAAACTGCAACTTTGCCAAATGCCTGCTGAGAGGCTCCTGGATGGGTGTATGCCCCCACCTCCAAACTGAACTGCAGTTTGCAGGATGGAGCAGCCACACTGTGCAAATTAAGAAACTGTAGATGAATTAGCAATCCCTTCCTTGGACTCTGAACACAACAGCCAGGTTTTGGGGTTCACTAAATGGGCAAGTGAATCACAGGAGGGAGCTGGTATAGGACAGAAGTAAAAACTGCCTCTGCCTCTTCTCTCATGAGCCTTGCATATTTCTCCCAGTGTTCTTATGCAAAGCTGAAGAGAACTTGGGAATTTCATGTATTTATTTGCATGTAGCCCAGTCTGGGTGAACCATGAGAGGCTGGTCAGGGCACCATAGTAGAATGATGGAAAACTTAAAAAACATAAAGGGCAGCAAATGGGGGAACAAAGAAAATAAAGGAGCTCAACATACTTGGTTTTTCTTTTATGTTTTTTTTTTTTTAATTATCATAATCCAACACAAATTTATATCAGAGTTCAGATTCAATGCCACATGACTTGTTATTAGGAAACTGAAAATTCTGTTTATCTTGCAGGTGCTGCATGCAAGGGGGTACCATGAGTGTTCCCAGGAACACCACAATGCAGACCCAGAGAGGCAGTGATGTTTGTCTGAGAGCAACAATCCAAGAATTCCCCTTCTGCTGTCCCTCCTCATGATAAGGGAGGTAACTTGAAGCTCTACTTTGCCTCCAGTTCAGCAGTTTATTCTCACACAGCACAGAGCCCAATAGAGTTTTAAAGTCCCTACAAAATAACTTCCCTGAGCACAAGCTTTAATGGTTTGCTGGACTGTTAAGGCAACATTTAGTTAATTTGTGACTTTTCTGTACTTTCCAAACCTGATAACCAGCATCCCCTGCACTACTTTGTTTCCCTTTGAAATAAGACACCAGTTATTGGTCACTCCTCCTTTTGGAAAGCAAAGGGAACAAAGCTTTTCACTAAGTGCCTCAGGCTGATCTTCTCTGTGGTGGTTGTGAGGGGGAAGGGAAGAAAAAACGAAGTTTGTTTGAGACCTGGCCCTCTCTCCCCCAGAAATAGGAAGTATTTGTGCAGAGGCACTGGAAAAAACAGATGAGAAGTCCACATGGTGACAGCTAAAAATGCTGGGCAGGAGGAAAGGACCAGACAACACAGCAAACTTTTGGAGAGATAAAACATCAACAAAACTAAGAACTAAAAAAAGTCAGCTGCCAGCCAGGCCAGGCACATTCAGCAGGTCACACAGGTCCTACCTGAACCAGGTCTCGAGGCTGGGATTGAATCTGTTGGAGAGAGAATCACTCATGCAGAGCAATGACAGAGCTGACTGCTGCCAGCCCACTGGCCAGGCAGCCAGGCAGCTGCTGCAGCACTCCTCCTCTCCTCTCCACAGGGCTTTTGGGTTTGCTCTCGTTAAAAACCAAGAGACTGGAGCCCTCTCACTGCATTTCCTCTTGTTGTGCTGTTCCTGAACATCCCAGATCAGGGCAACTCTAACCTGCTGTGTGTATGAGCTCATGGCACAACTGCTAAACCACTTCACTACACTCCTAAGACAGGCAGGTACCACAAAACTGCTTCCCTTTACATCCAGGGAAAAAAGCATTTGTCTCATGCCCATCCTGCCTTTGGGAACAGCAGAGCAGTGCCAGCAGCACTCCCAGGGCTGGACTTACCAAGAGGTGCTGTTGGTTTTGCCTTCTTAGCTGGAGCAATGCCATCTGGTTTGGACTCAGAGAAGGAGGCAGTTCTGCTCGGGGCTGGAGTCTGAAAGATTCAGAAGCCAAGTCAGTGAGGGACAGTGCTCCAGGTATGGCCTGGAGCACAGAGGAGGAGGTGGCCTCGCTTTGGCTACACTGGTCTACTACAAATAAAACCAAAAAAATGAGTTTTCAGTCAAGCAACAAAAAACTGAATGACCCAGTAGGTTCAACAGTCACACTGCCAGCTTTGAGAGGCCACAATTAGTGCATGAGTGAGACTGGGCTGGCCTCTCCTGATAAACCACACCAGCAGAGCCAGGATTGTTTTCCTAAACCATCCTACAAGTACACTAGTGACCAAAATGCCTTTCCAGCCTGCCTTTGGGAGGCTCCTGACCCTGTCCCCATGGGAAGGAGCTCACCAAGGGGCTGCTGCTGGTGTTGAGGAGGACGCTGAGAGGCCACATTCTGTGCATGAGTGAGACTGGGGTGGCCTCTAAACTGCCCCAGCAGAGCCATGTTTGTTTTCCTAAACCACCCTACAAGTACACTAGTGGCCAAAACGCCTTTCCAGCCTGCCTTTGGGAGGCTCCTGACCCTGTCCCTATGGGGAAGGAGCTCACCAAGGGGCTGCTGCTGGTGTTGAGGAGGACATTGAGAGGCCACATTCTGTGCCTGAGTGAGACTGGGGTGGCCTCTAAACTGCCCCAGCAGAGCCATGTTTGTTTTCCTAAACCACCCTACAAGTACACTAGTGGCCAAAATGCCCTTCCAGCCTGCCTTTGGGAGGCTCCTGACGCTGTCCCAAGGGCAGGAGCTCACCGAGGGGCTGCCACTGGCGTTGAGCAGGAAGTTGGCAGTGTGGGCTGCAGCTGGAGGCTGGTTGGGGATGGGCCGGTGGCCCAGGGCCATGCCCACGATGGCTGTCATGTGGGTCTCCGTGCCAAACACGTGGATGGGGATCCCCGTGGTCTTCCCTGTGGAAGTACACAAGAGCAGTCAGCATCCTCAGGGGAAAGCTCTTTTCTCCTTGAAGAAGTGTTGAGAGTTTTTGCAGGACAACACGTGCAACATATGCACAATCCAGCCTCATAGAAACTGAGTAAAGTCACAGTGCCCCTGAAGGACACCAAAGGAGAAGAACACACTCAGAAGCAGACAAGAAAATCACACTGAGACACATGAAGAGAGACAAACTAAAATTAACTAAAATATTAAAATGCATGCGTAGAAAGATTTAACCAATCATGTATTAGCTTGAGGTGTGAACAATAGAGAACAGTATAAATACAGCTTGCTTTTTGCAATAAATTGGCTTCACTTGATCAGATTGATCATGGTGTGATTTCCCATTACTGATCCTCTGCAAGAAAGCTGTGGAAACCCAGGGCACTGGGAATATTTCTCTGTCTGCTCTGGGGTGCCCTAACCCTCAGGGAAGCACTGACTTTGACCCTCATTCATGGAGAAAGTTTCCCACACTTCAAGATAGACTGGAATCCACAAAAGTGTGAAACAGATTATAGAGAGCAGTGTAGGTGTGTCACTTGGTGAGAAATTGAGGTTTTGGGATTTTTAGTGTGCTGTGGATGGAAGCAAGATGGAGGGCACAGGGTGTCATCCTGGGTTTCTTCTTCATGCTGCTTCTTCCTTCTTCTCCATGGGTTTGGGTGGCATTTTGTAATTGGGCAGAAAAGTCCACATTGGGATCAGTTATTGGGTTAAAAGGGAAAATAATCGAGGTGTCAGTTCTTAATTGGATAGTTTAGTTTTAAAAGACCTTGGAACCAGAGATTGTTGGCCATTTTGTGCCTTCTAATGAAAAGCTGCAGAACTCACAGTGGTGAGACTGTTTTACTGATAAGAAATAATAAACACCTGAGTCTGAACATGAAGCACTGTCTCAAGTGCCTTCAATCCAGACCCAGAGACATTGAACTGAAACCCCCACAGAAAGCCAGTGGAACAAACAAGATCCAAGAACAAAACTTAAGGACGAGCTTGGTCCTTACCAACTTCTCCCATGACACGTAAACCTTCCTGGTAGTTGGGGCCTCCTCTTCGTACAAAGATCCTCACCTCATGCTCCTTCAGAGGGCCTTGGTAATCCTTAATTGCCCTCACAATGCCCTAAAAGAAACACACAGGACTGGTGACCAGGCAGCCACATTTACCCTGTCCCATCATCTCAGAAACTCCTGGAAGAGATGGACTATGAGCCTCAGCCAAGTGTGGAATTGGGAAGAAGGGCTGGAGGATGACAGCTGTGTGTTTGCTGATGTTTGAGACTGGTCACTTACTTTAAAGGTGGCTGCTACATTGGTGAAGTTCGCAATGCTGCCTCCAATAATCAGGATCTTCCCTGAGGGAAGAAACACAGGTAAGTAAAGCCATTCCAAGAGCAGCGTGCTCCTAGATCAGGAAGCAATTAAGGACATAAAGTCAAACAAAGCTGCAGAGTAACCAGCTGCATTTAGTAGGAAAAAACCCCTAAAGCAGTTGAGTTTAGTAGAGCCTGGAAGATAAGAGCTTTGTACCAAGCAAGAATGTCTGATAAGGATCTCTCAGGCCCCATGAAAAACCACAAGTCCTCTCTTTGAAGCAAGAGCTGACAGAAATCCACCCCTGATTTGCTCAGAAGGCAGAAGTACACTGAAAGCCCTGCCAGGGCAGGCTAAGCATAGTAACAGCCCAGATTTCCTCAGGTTTTTCTGCCAGACAGGTTCACAGCTTTGGAATTGCAGCATCTCCCTTACCTTCTGGGTGCTTCTCTCGGGTCATGAGGGAGAGGATGGTTTTAGCATAGTCGTAGGTCTGCTGCTCACTCGGGGCTCCTGAGTACTCCCCATAGTTTGCCAGCTCATTGACACCCCCCAGGTCACAAATGGTGTCACTAACAATAAAAAAAAAGGCAGTTATTTAAGAGATTAGTTATAATTTGAGTCACTATAAAGTTCCTGAAGTATTCCATATTCCTGGGGAATTCCTTAACAGAGGGACAGTGCTGTCTGCTGAAAACAAAGCTGCTCTCATCTTGGTGCCAGTTACAATTAATCTTGTCATGCTCCCCAGATGCCAACTCAGTGACCACCACAACAATCACATTGCTCTCAACAGCCTCCAGCCAGCTTGTTTCTTTGTCAGTCAGAAAGGAGCTGTATCTCTGTAAGAAAAGGTATCTAACCCTAACCCTTGCAAAATTAAATTCCACAGGTGACACTACGTGAAAAATCTGCACAGCATCTTCATTCTGTAAAACAGTCACAACACAGAAAAAAATGGCCTTAGGAGAGCTACTTTCTGCAGCAATTATGTTCTCCCAGCACTTGAAATGCTCCCCCTCTGGAAATTTGCTTCCTTTACCTGTACACCACTGAGGCACCACCACCAGCCACCATGGTCCAGATCCTGCCTTTGGGGTTCAGGATGGTAAGCTTCAGGCTGGCCCCACTCTTGGCATCCAGGTCAGCAATGTAGGCTTCCTGCAGAGAGAGCAGCACAACCTCAGCTTCCTCCTGCATCCCCCTTCTCCATCCCAAGGGCTCACAGTGCTGGGTGCATTTGGACACACAGACAACCACACCTCAGGGACAGCAGAGCTACAAACACAGCATTTGTCAGGGACAACCCCTCCATCACACAACAGGCACAAAAATCTGAACACAACTGTAAAGTCTGTTCTGGCCTCGTCCAAGACTGAGATCTGAGGAAATCTAAAAATCATCTCACCCATGGTGACCACTCTGGCTATGCTGGAGCCAGGAACACAATCACTGAGAGCTGTAATTTGGCTCAACGTGGTGCCCCTGCAGCCCAGCGTGCCAGGCTGCTGAGCAGCACTTCATCAGAGTTCATTAACATTCCCAGCAAAGACTCTGCCATAACAACCTTCCCAGGGACTCAGAGAGGGATGATTCAGAGACAAAATCTCAACTAATCCTTTTAAGAGCAAACTGAGTTGAGTGTTGGCATCCAGCAAGCTACATGGAAAGGAACAGCTAAATGGATTTCCTGGCCACAGTACAAAAACCTTCCAACTGAAGCATAATTATAATCATTAAAATGAAAAAGTCAGGACAGAAGTCATTTTGGAGACAGAAGAACAGACCCCTGAAATAAGTAACAGAATAATTAAGGAGAGAGCTCTACTTCCAACAGCCTCTGAAGCTGCTGAGACCTGTCTGGAGCAGTGCTTGTGCATCCAGCAGTACAGACCCAGGGAATTTGGGGAGGCAACAGGCACTGCTAGCTTTATTATAAAGTGCTCATTGTAAATTGTCCTCACTTCTTGGAAAAATAGGTGTATTAACATCTTATTACTTGTAAGTTCCAGAAATGGGGATTATTTTCTCTGGGTTCACCCTTGGATGCAGCATGGGCACACAGCTGCTGCTCTGCTCTCAGAACTGTCCCTGAAACACCGAGGCAATGTCAGCTGCCAGTAACCACTGCTCCAAGAGAAAAACAGTGATGCTGAGGGGAGCAACGTGGGCAGGAAGCACAAAAGGAAGCTCTGCACAGGCACAGAGCTCTGGCTCACAGCTGATGGAAGTTAAATATCAGCCTCCATTAAAAAAAGTCAATTCTGAATTAAAGAACTGACCAAACAGAGCTGGGAAGCAACTGCAGTTCAGAGTGTGGTTCTGAGCAGCCCTAGGACTGCAGCTGCCCCTGCACAGGTTATCATGGACAGCACAGCCAAGGGGGCAGAGACACAGCAACAAATCACTGGAAACAGCAATGCCATGGAGGTGGCAATCACAAATCCTCTGAACAGACAGAGACATAGAGACATAGCTCCCTCCCAGGATTTTCCTGGGAAGCTGTGAGAAAGCTCACAGAAAGAACTCAAACAATTGTTATCTCAACCTCTGCACCTGGCAGGCAATCTCTGTTTGTCAGAGATGTTTACAAGAAGGAGTTGTCCCTTCTTGACCAATAGGTGAGAGAAGATTCCTAAAGGCCAATCAGGTCTTAGGTCCACCACTGTTTCTATAAGAACTGTGGATTTCTAATAATAAAGTGCCTTTTCATGATGGAGTCTCTGTATCACCTTTGTCTGTCCCTGATGCCCCTTTGGTGATACATGGGCATACAAGCAATGGTAAATCCAGGACACAGTGAAGGAATTCAGCTGTCACTTGCCTCAGGGTAAGCTTCCCTGCCAAAAGGAGGGGGGAACTCCACATCCCCCCACTTCACTTTGCAGATGTAGTCAGCCGTGGCGTCGATCTTCGCAGCCAGATCAAGGATGTAAACACCATCCTTGGTGACCACTGCAGGGAAAACATCACAGTCAGCTCTGGGTTGTACAGAGACACATTACAGATCTACCCCAACAGCTGGTACCACACAGGCATCACTGCAGAACTGGGAGGCTGCTGTTTCCCCTGGCACTGGGCAGTACTGACCAGCCCCAGCAAGTTCCCTGGGGAATTAACCAGTAACTGTGGCCATGGTCCAGGCTCTGTCTCTGTCAGGGGATATTTTGTTCTAAAGTGCAATTTTTATATTCTTCAGTTCTGCCTTGACATTCCCTTCAAGGGAATTTTTCATTTCCTCATTTTTAATTCACTGAATGAACAGCTCAAAGACAGATCACTGCCACTTCCATACTTCTGCACATGGCACATGCTGCTGTTGTGGATTACAGAACCAAAGGAAGGATCAAGAACACATTTCAGTAGTTCAGAACAGAAAGTTCTGCTTCCAAAAATATTCATTACCTAATGGATTGATCTCCAGGTATGTAAAATACAGATCTTCATAAAGGTTGAACAGGCCACAGATGAAGCTGGCCAAGATGCTGTAAAAAAAAAAAAAAATTAACACAAGTTAATGAAAGCAGCCAAATCTAAGTACAGCCTGCTCTGCTCATTGGTATGAGTGGCAATCTACAAATCTACTTGGCATCAATTTCTTTCATTCTCATTCATCTTCTCTGGTTGGAGCCTGGGTGATGGATGACTCAAGGGAAGGAAGACCTTGATGACTCATCTTAATTACCCTCCACCAAACTCTGCTGAGGACACAGTTGCTCACAACTCTCAGAGCTGTGCAGTCTGATTTATCTCCCTACAAGACAGAAGCACATCTTTGCCTCTCTGCTGACACCCATCTTTGTCAGATCTGAGCTTCCTTAGCTGTGATGGGGAGGAGGCTGCAGTGAACTGGTGGAGTGACAGGCTCCTTCACCCTTCAGTGCTGCACTATGTCAGCAAGGATTAAACTGTGTTTGGAAAAATCATGACTCATATTAGGCTAACTAGGTATGGGCATCTAATTGAGGGAGATGCAGAAGCCTTGAGATCTGCAGATCAGCCTGCAGAAGGAAGAATAGGAGAGTAACTTTGGAGATCAGGCCAGAGCAAGAGAAAGGGATATTCTGAATTAGCAGTCAGAGCCACATCTCATCAGCAGTTCACTAAACAAAAGAAACTTCTATGCTGGCACAAAGGATCAGAATTCAGCACATGTCTCCAGTCTCAGGTTGAGACCTAAGCAGGCTGACAAGTGCTGCTGCCAAGTAAAGGCTCAGCACTAGGAAACCTTATTTTTGGGTTTTACAGGCAGCTGAGATAAGGTCAGAGAGCTTGGATTCAGGATGCATGGCATATTCTGGAGACCAGCAAGAAGGGCAGGAGAGTGAGCTTCAGGGTTAAGAAAAACAGAAGGATGTGGCACTGAGATAAAAGAGAGCAGCTGCTGCACGGCTGCTCCTACCCAGAACTGCATCTCTACTTACTCCTTCTTGTCAGCTGGTGCATGCTGCAGGAGATGCTTCTTCACATCTGATTCACTGAGCTTCTCATCCACTGCCACGAGCAGCTTCTGAGCCTTGGCATCCACATCTCCCACATCCACACCCCCTTCGTGGTGGAAGAGCACATAGTCCCCCTCACGGGCAGCATAGATGCACACATAGAACTCTTCCTCCTGTGCCACACAGCAGGGACAAGCATTTAGCAGTGACACCCAGAGGCTGTTGTGCCAATGTTGGGATTGATTCACTGAGCCCAAACTCAAGCTTCCCAAGTGTAGCCCCACATTTCCCTTCACAGAGAAAAGCAAGGCACAATTCTCCCCAAGAATATTTTCTGGGTTTCACATTCTCTGAACCTCAGAGAAAGGAAAAACAATTCTTATCATTTGCTGTGCCTGTGTTTGTGCCAAAGTAGCATGCAATATGGAGATTGTTTACCCACAGTGATGGTGTTTCATTACCCTGGCCTGTCAGGGCCAGGTGTGTGTGTGTGTGTGTGTGTCAGGACTGTCACTGACAGCCACGAGATTCAGTGCAGTGGGTGCAGAGTGAGTGCTTGGCAGGTTCAGTTTAGATGTAATGTAACATAGTATAATATAGAATAAAGTAATTAATTAGCCTTCTGATATCAATGGAGTCCTCCTCATCATTCCTCCTTTGTCAGGGCCTCTCAGAGCAGCAACACCCAAGGAGCAGCAGTGCTGGAGTGGCCCTGACACTGAGAAGGACTTCCCAGTCATTTTTATTTGGATCAGGAAAATGAAACAGTAATATTATCTCAGCAAAGACCATAATTAACAAAGAGATCTGTGTGCAGAAGTGTCTGGCAGACCCTTCTTCTGTTAAAATTGCAGTTTTATTTGTTTTGTAGTGGCCTTGCTATGATGTACTGTCTTAGAAGTTCTCACTGCATTGGCAAACTGATTAAAATGATAAGGAATATGAAGGTGTATGAATTTATCTTCTACTTAAAATTTCAGTGTGGAAATACAGAAGATGTTTTTGCCCGGGGTGTGCAGCAACACTGTCAGCTCAACAGCACACTGCCAAGCTTCTGCTTTCTCCACTGTACCAATCCAGCTAAGCATGAAGCCCAAAGAGATTGAAAAGCCTCCTTTAATGGTGTACTAACCTGTTTGTGAGGGACAAAGGGTTCAATCAGAAAGTTCTTCAGGATTCCCTTGGCATTAGCAATCTGGGGACAGAAAACAAGATAAACACCCATAACCACTTGTCCAGCACATTTGTGACAGCATAAGGAAAGCTTTGAGAATTAATCAGCACTGCTCTAAAATTGATCCCTCTCCACTGTGCCTGGTGGGTAACCACTGCTCCCTGTCCAGCACAGCATTCAGGATATCTGGTTACAGGAGATGGTCACCTTTCCCATTCCTAACAGGACAGAGGGATATCAGAATTACACCAGGACAGCTGCTCTCCTCTCCTGTCCTGTCCTGTCCCAGAGCCAGCTCAGCACAGTGAGGCACAAGGGCTTGAGAGGCTCTTGAAGTAGGGGAAAATTCACAAGTGAGGAATTCCTGAGCTAGTGGCAGGAGCAGAGGCCTCAGAGTAGTGTTCACCCTGAAATGGTATCAGGGAACACAGAAGAGCAAGAAAATCCTTTAGCCTCTTCTTATGAGTCCAGGAACTGTTCTGTGCAGGCACTTTGCTGTTATCCAAACCCAAGAGACGCTGGGGGACACTCCCTGCTTCTGAGGACACCAGGAGTCCCAAGTCTGTGGCCCAGACCTTGCTTTTGATATGGCTGTTGTTGTGCTAAAGGAGTAATTTCCACACCCATGGTTTTCCCAACGGGGAGCACTCACAGAGCTGCTCCTGTTGTTTCCCAATTCCTGCTGCACCAGCTCAGAGCCAGAGCCAAATCAATCCCAGCAGGGCCAAAGGCATAAATTCCTTCAGGCAGCACAACTCCATCAGCTCCCAGCACACAGCAGCAGGCACGGCAGGCACTTCATTATCATTAGCACTGCACTGTCATTCCCAGGAAAATAAATATTATATGGCAGCACTGAGTTAAAATAAGGGCCTGAAGTAACACTCAATCATCAGCCAAAACACATGAGCTGGCTGCAGGAGAGGATTTTATAGCTTTTTCTCCAATTTTGTTCATTAAACAAAAACGAAGCCACTTCTGGGGCTCACTCACCGTGGTTTCCTGGCCCAGGCGCTGCTTGAGCCAAGCCTTGACCTGATCCAGGGTGAGGTTAATCCCAACCAGTCCCAGCTTCCCACGTCTCTTAATGAGCTGATCTGGCTTCACCACCAAACGCTGCAGAGGTTGGGCAAGAGAGTTAAAGGAAGAAGCATTAGAAAGTGACTTTGGTCCAGGGTTCTCTGCAAATAGTGAAGTAAAAACTTAAATCGGCTCTGCACAGCACCCATCCTTGCTAAATTCCCTTAATCTTGGCAAATCCAGCTCCTGGTACAATATGCCTGCAAAGTTTGGGTTTTCTTATGCTGTACTTTGAGAAAAGCTGCCTTGTTCCTACTTAGCTGTAAGACATCAGAGGCTGAGGGTGACAGCTTGTTCTTTTTTTTTGATGAAAAGCCCAATAAAAGTCATGTCAGACACAGACAGTTGCTCACAAAAATTAGAAAAAAAGCTCCTGCTAGGGCCAGGGTCATGCACATTTCAGCCAACTGACTGTGGCTTTTTATAAGATACCCATGGATAGCTGCTCCTGGGTCACACACATCTCTAGCTTGCAAATATCCTTTTAAAGAACCAAACTAGAACTGGCTGTCATTCTCCTGCACCACTGATATGTCTTGGAACTTCAGCAACTTAAGAGTCAGGACACACTGTGCTGCAGTAAAGGACACTGAGCATGGTCCTGCTGCTGGCCCTGAAGCCCTTTCCAGCCTTACAGAACCTGCCTTAAAGGCCCAAAAACAACCTTGCTCCCTTCTGGCTTCCTGCAAGGCTTTCAGAAGCACTGCTGATCTCCTCCTGCAGTTCATTCAGGCACTTGAGCATGGAACATCTAATTAGTGCAGGCTTTTATCAGTCAGTCAGTCAAGGACTATGAGACATTCATGTTCTCCAGCCAATGACTTAATTATATTAACCACTGGAAAGGAGCCAGCTTGGACAGCTTAATAAAAAAGAGCTCTGGCTATGTTTTCTCTACAGAAAGTGTGAGGATATGAGATACAGAGATAAATGATTTTGCACTGGAAAATTTAAAAAAGGAAGTTTTCCCTGACATTTTGCTTGGATGCAAGAAAACTAAGCAGTGTCCTAACTTGACATGGGGAGAGTACTCCCTCATTTCAGAGAGCAAAGCTTTGAGAATAGGGACTGACATCTCTGAATCAACCTCCTTTACCTTCTGTGCAGCTATGAGCAACTGCTTCACAGCTATCTCTGCTCCTGTGTTTCAGTCTTAAAGGAATAATCAGCCCCCCATGAGGTGATACTGAGCCTTGAAGCAAGATTTGTTTCTTCATCAGGCTTGGGAGTGACTGCAGCAGAGCAGCAGCAGTGACTGGTTATAGGAATGTGCCCCTTGTTGATGGAGTGACAAAACTATCCTTTATCCCCTTAAAAAGGAAATAAGCCCAGAAGTTTCTCTTCTCAATTAGGTGAAAAGGCATTTTATAGGACTTGGAGGACTTCACCTCAAACTTAAGGATGGCCAATTGGGCAGGAGCCAAAAAGTCCCACCTGAGCAATTCACTAGAAAAAGAAGAGAACAAAGAAACTGAAAAACTAATGGCTTTTGTGAGGTGTTTTACCAGAAGAGAGAACCTCTTGCACCTAGATTGGTTTTTATCTGTAAAGAGTTTGTTATTTTGCCTTTTATTAAAACCTTTTTTGTTTCCAACACTACCACAGAAGCCTCCCTGCTGATTTTAGGCCTTCTAAGGTAGCTGAGCTATCTTGGGTGTGAAATAGATCTCCAAAAGCTTATCAGACCTGGCTCAAAGAAAATCATATTCCAAGTGGTGCTTCAGGAAGGGTCTGGAGCAGTGCTCAGGTGCTGCAGGAGGGCAGATCCTGCTGTGCCTGCCCTTACCTCGCTCAGGAGCCAGGGGTGGTCCTGGGTGAGCCGTGCCCAGTCTGTGGCTGCTGTGACCCGGGCATACTTGAAGCGGTTCTGGATGGCAGAGGACGTGCAGATGTACTTGTACAAGAACTCCTTCCCTGTCTGCTCAGAGATGGCTTTGGCTGACATGGCTACTTAGTCTGGATGGGAAAAAAAAACCCCAAAAATCCATCAGGAATAGAGCCCTGCATCACCCAGCTCAACACAAACCCAAACCGAAGTCTCCCCATTACATGTAAGATCATAAAACTCCCCTGATAAGCAAGAACTACTCACTTTGCTTAAAACTCTTCCCCTGCCATGCACACTATTTTCATCCAGCCCTGTCTGCAGGGAAAGGCAGAATCCCTGCAGCTTGTCCCAGGCACCACCAAGCCTTTGCCAAAGCCAGAGCCTGGAGCATCCCCTCCCATGCAGGGCAGTGCCCAGCTCTCCCCAGTGTCACAGCACCCCAGGATTGCTCCTGGTGTAACCCACCCACCCCTTTTCCTGGTGCATTTCCAGGGAGGGATCCCCTCCCTCCTACTCACTTCTCTAAGGCACCCCACATTCCCAGCCAAGCCTGACTGTGGGCATGTCAGCAATCCCCATCCCTTTTCCAAAAGGAAAAGGAAACACTGCCAGGATTACCAAAACTAGAACAGGTTTACATCACTGTTTTTTCTTGTTTCAGAACCAGGTTTCTTGGAAAGAGCTCAACACTAACAGAATAAGATGCTCAAGATGACAATAAAGATTAAGTTTCAACAGCTTGTTTTAGTTTTGGGGTTGGTTTTTTTTTAAGAAAAATTCCAAATTCAGTCCCTTTCCTATGGATGGTTTTCTTCTCTTTTCGAGTATATTCCAAACTGATGTAAGCAAATAATTTCTGGCCTCAAGAGTGCAACTATTCTTTTTGATAAGGTGTCAGAAATCCATTTATTTTTAGCTGCCATAAACACTTATTTAAAAGAATACCTCATCCCAGTGACCCTGTCTGATGTGTCACACATCAGAACTGAGTGCTGTGACCAGCCAGCAGCTTTGGTGTGTCTGGGGGGTCAGACTGCTGACAGGGAGGCTCAAGCAGCAGCTCCTGCTGCATTTTGAGTGACTGGGGTCATGTCAGTGTTCCCCAAGCACTGCCAGTGTTGTTCTGTACAGTATCTTATCATTTTTATTTTATCTAGAGCCTTCGTTCCCTCATTAGTATCCCAATTTATTAAAAGTTCACCTAAAGGACTACTAGGAGGTATTTTCTTAAGAACTTCCTTCCCTTTTCTCTTCCCTCAAGACAAAAGCACCCTTGGGACAGATTCTGGGAGAGCTGCAAAGCAGAGGGGCACCAACACAAAAAAAGAGGAATTCAGATTCCATCTAAACACCTGTACAGCCAAATACTAGAACTGCTCATTAAAGACTACCTGTCCTCAAAAAACACATACCCCACTGCAAACCCACAGAGGGAAACTGTTAACAAATTTCAATTATTTCTTGTGCTGCCCTCTGGGTAATAACCATTAGTAATCAGCTGGGCTTTTCATCCTATAAGCAAACACAGAATAGGCAGCGATTAACTAGGCATAATTAGAAATAAAGAACTCTTCTCCCTAGAGTAGAAAGGAGGAGGTGGGTCCATCCCAACTCCTACTCCATGGTAGGAGGCAGGCTGCATTCCCTGAGCTTCCAAAACCAAACAGGTCAGGCTGAGTAAGTGCTACTACTGAAAGCTGATAACTGTGCTTAATTTAAGGACCAGCAGTCAACCTTGCCACTGCCATCTTTTCAAATGCAACTGAAAATTCAAATGAATTTCAAATTCCAGGGTTAAAAATCAACAAAGGCAAAAGACAAAGAACCGCAGGCCCACTTTCAAAGAGTTCTGATGTAAAACCTGAACGGGATTGCAGCACAGCTTCCAATTTAATCCCATTTCAAAACAGGATCGGGCAATGCTCCTGCAGCACCCCATCTTTCATCAGACTCAACCCCCACTCCTGCCACGAGAAAACTTGTCCCAGCTGAAACAGCCCCTGTTAGTTTAATAGCCCCGAGGTGGTCTGACAAGAGAGGAGCTCCTGTGAGCAGCCAGAGGCCACCAAACCCCAAACCAACTCCCAGGCACACACAGACAGCTCCCACAGCACTGCCCAGCCCACAGCTGCACACACACACACCTCATCTGTACTGCAGAGCCCAAAACTTCCCACTGGAATTTAAGCAGAGCTATTTCTGAGAGCAAAACCCGCTCCCACAATATCTGCAGCCACCATTTGTTCTGCCTGAGAGGGAGCTGCAATGTTCCTGCTTGAAACTCCTCTGAAATCCATCAATTCCACAATTTGCTCAGGGCCTGTCCCAGAGAAACAGTGTCACATCTCACTGCAGCAGAAGCAGATGGGTAAAAGAAAATGGCAAACATATTTCTTTAAGAAATTCTTAGTATTTGTCATTTCTCCAGGGTGTCACAGAGCCTCTAAACAGCACTGCAGAATTTCAGCCCACAATGACAAATTAAACCACTCAGGCTGATGCTGGGTATGCCAATGAATACCCTGCAGTTGCAGGATACTGGAGCCAGGCTGTTCCTCAGGTCTTATTAAGAACAGTCCTATAAAAAAGCCTCAGTGGGAACAAGTGAAATGCATGGGATTCCTAAAACTTGAGCCATTCCCCTCCCAGAACCATTTCTGGTCTTTTTTATGTTGCTCCATTCTGCTGCTCCCCTGCTTTCCCTCACAACTTCCTCATCTCATTTTTGCAGTAATACTACTGGGGTAAAGAAAGGAAAGTACAGAATTCTTACAATAGCAGTAGAATAATAACATCCTTGTGTCATGGCAACAGAACAGCAGGAATGAGGCTGCTCTGACCTTATCTGCCTGAGTTTCACATTTCCTAAATATTAGCAAGTCTTTAATCACACCCCTCACTCAGTTTTTCCACTGTTCTAGCCCTGCCTTTCTCGTGGGACAGAGAGCACAAAGCAATTGCTTCAGTCTGCTGAACTGTTAAGCTAAGAGAGATCAGCAGGAAAAATAATCCATAGGGCATCAGCAATTCCTGGCTGTGTGTGCTTGTGCAGGTCCATCAGAGCAGGTTCATTAACTCACTGCATCTGTTCTGCTAACACCAAACAGAACAGGGCACAGGCTCGTGTCACTACACAGGAACTGAGTCTCCCCAGTTCCCCAGGAATGAGACAGGTTCAAACTCTCACCTGTCAGAATTAATCTTATTTTCAGTCATGTTCAGCACCTGCAGTGCTGGGGAGAGCAGAGGCTGCACCTCTGGAGGTAAACTCAGGGAAAAATGTTCTTTTCTCTGCCCAAAACACAAGCTGTGGGATAACAACGTTCTCTTCCACTGCTCTGTTCAGCATTCATCAGCCAAGACTGAGCTGCAGTTTTCTCAGCATTTCAAGCCCCAGACCTTGCACCCACCACACACAAGGGCAGATTCATGTCAGCAGGGCAAGTGCCACAGATTTCCATGAATGATTGTGCTCATTTAGTGAGGCTCCAACACCAACAGCTTCCCTGCAACACCTTGGAGACCTTTCTCTCATCACCCATACCCACTGATTCAAAAAGAGCTGAATTCCAGCCTTTGCTAGCAAGTAAGAGACATGGATTAGATCATATTTTCAGGAGCTCAGCAGCACTTATTCCCTCAAAACATCACCTGTCAAATACATACAAATAAGTTGATGCTTGAGGGGAGTTTCCTGAGTGTATTGACAGAAAAATCAGCAGGATGGTGGCAAGGCAGGCAAGAGTCCTCGAGCTGGATGTTGTGTTTGCTGTGACACAACTGATATATCTGCCCCAATATATCAGCAACCAGCTGAAGGGTGCACCCAAAAAACCCAAAGGAAACACAGATGGAGAAACAGGGAGGCATTCCTGACACAGAACTCAGGGGGAGTCCCCCTGACTCCCAGGAGATGGGAGATGTGGCACTGCTCAGTGTGACACAGTCTGCTCTGCGAGAGGAGAAAAAGCATTACAGACATTGATTTTGCTTGTTTTTCTTCGACCCAGAAGAAGAGGTGTAAGTCAGCTTCACCAATCTGTGTTCACACATGGAATTCTCTGAGATCTGGATGGGTACTGAGCTCCAGTTGTACCAGAACAACACTTCAGGAGGAAAGGACTCCCTCTGCAGTGAGGGCTCGACGCCCACTCTCCCAAGAACTGTGTCAACAAACCCACACCATAAAGCAGCCTCTCCCCTCCCATTCTGGGTAATTTATTAACACAGTTCAAGCCAAGCCAGTATTTTCAGCCCGTGGCAGCATGAAAAGTTACATCAGCTCCCACCTGGCAGACCCGTGTGTTTCATCAGAGGATGGTGAGGGCTCAGAGCTGCAGCCAACGTGAGGTCATGGTCCCCCAGCTGGGGTTGGGAAATGCTGTGTGGGGTGATGCAAACAGGTGCTGCATGCCCAGCTCTGGGGGAGGCTCCTGCACACACAGAACCTCTGAGAGAAACACGGCAGCCAGGCAGGAGCAGGGACCATGGACTGGTTACATGTGGCTAACAGAGACCTGGTGGGCACCCAGTGCCACAGGGGAGGAATTTGGGAATCCTGCCATTAAAGAACATCTTATTGTGCAGCCTTAGGGCTCCTTAACAAGCTTATTCTTTAAATTACCTGCACAGTGTAGAGCAATAAAGGGCTCCCTAGCCACCGTGGCTGGGCAGGATTTTCTAACTGTGCCTGTCCTTGCTTGGGAACCACTTCAGGCAGTGCTGGAATAGCCCTGATACCTGGAGAGAGCTGCAGAGTCTCACATGCAGGACACCCAGCGGGGTCTGGGTAGCAGCACTGGAAACCACACTGCACAAACCTTGTCAGAGGGGGCTGGTGGGGATCTCATCAAACCAGCCCTGTGATTAGTGAACTCTGAAGTATGGAATTCATACACCCAGCTGTGACCAGCTACCCAGCAGGGAATCTGGGGGCTCTGCAGCCCCAGCATTTCCAGAGCTGATTTCCAGAGCTCCAAACCCACTTAGGGATCAGAAAGAGCACAGACACCTACAAACAGGATAGCCAGGGTGCAGCTCAGCTTTCAGCCTGCAGACGACAAACTGATCAACAGAGAGAGAAGGGAGAGTCGCAGAGCAGGATGAGAATTTCGAAAGCAGCAAGACAAACAGGAGGTGTTTGCAAGCAGCAAACAGGACAGCTGGAACACAGCCGGCTGTCCTGGGGAGGGAGCGACACAAGGGCTGTGCACACACCGCCGCCCGTACGGGAACAGCGCGATCCCCACGCGGGGCTGCTCCTAAAAGAGTACTTTTAATTTCTGACGCCAGCATTTATAGATTTCCAAAAGTGACGGTGGATTGGAAGGTGACAGTGCCACCCCTCCAATGACACCGAAGGGATTTTCCTCATGGCAGGGGAGGAAAGCGCTCTGGCCAAGGTCCTCTTGGACCGGGGTGGGGGGAAATGCATAAAGCCGGACCCTTTCCCAGCCCCGTGCTAATCTCCGCGCTGTCACCACCGCACACCGGCCGTGCCCCGGAGCCGCCCCGGCCACCGCGCCCCGAGCGGGGCATCAGCACGGCTGATGGAGGTCAGGGCCAGCACCGCACACCCGCCACTCGAGCGAGCCCGCGGCGCTCCCTCAGCTTGCGGGCCGCTCCCGGTGCTCGCCCGCCCGTACCGCCAGCCACGGGGGCCGCGGCCGGCCAGAACCAGCGCGGCTCCCGCCTCCTCAGACGCGTGGGCGCCGCCGGCGGAGGGGCCGCGCCACGTGCCAGGCGGAGCCCGGCGCCGCAGCCGCCCCAGCACTCACCTGGGCCCCGCTCGGCCGCTCCCGCCCCGCTCCGCTGCCGCTCCGGCCCCGCTCGCGCCGCCGCCGCCGCCTTTTGTTCGCGGAGCGCGGCCTCCCCGGCCCATCGGGCTACGGCCGCCGCCGCCACCCATTGGCCGCCGCCGCTACCACGTGCGCGTTGCCTGAGCGCCCGCCGCGCACCCATTGGCCTCCGCCGGTGGGGTGCGGCCGCGCGGCCTTGTGGGAGTCGTAGTTCCGGCGCCATCGCCCCGCCCTCGGCGGAGCTCGCGGCCGTGACCCCCCACGCCAGACCCGCCGCCGCTGACGTAACCGGCGGCGATGACGTCAGCAGGCCCACCGCCCAGCGGTACCGGCGGCGAGAACGGGGCTCCCTCGCCAGCGCCGGGACTGCGGCTGCGGGCGGTGCCCGGTGGTACCCACGGGGGAGTGGCGGCACTGCCAGAGCCGGGTCACCGGTGCCTCCCGAAGCACCGGGAGCGCTGCTCCGTTTCCTCGCAGCCTTTCAAAACGCTTACGGTTCTTACGCTTCCTGGGACCCCCCCACCCCAAATCGCTTTTCCCCGGGGCTCCCGGCCCGTGACTAACGCTGAGGGAATGGCGCTAAGGGAGCACCGGGAGCTGAGGGAGCACCGGGCGCGGGGTACGGGCGGCCTTGTCCCGGAGGGGAGGCAATGTCACCGGGCTGGGCACAGACCTGCGGCAGCCCCACACGAACACAGGGCTACTGCCTGCCCCGCTGGGGACGGCGTTTTACATCTAGTGGGGGAAAATCTCCCGGTAAAACAGCTACGGAGCGCTTAATCTGCCTGAAATGGCCCGCCCGGTTCCCCGGGGACGGGGTGTGTCAGCCCGGCCGCCCACTCCGGAGCTCGGCAGTGAGTGTCTCCCCACCCTGGCGTGACCCCCACCCCGCCTCCCGCCCCAGCGGCGGGCGGCCGGCGGTGCTGGGCCGGGGCCAAACCCCGGGCAGTGCCTCGTGGTGCCATTAAATGTCCCGGTGCCGAGCGGGACAGATGCCCTCCTCCTCCTCCCGCCCTTACTCTGAGTCACTTGGCAGGAACAAAGTGTTTCAAGCACAGATCTTGGCGGAGAGTCTGAACCGGCGCCAAAATAAAGTCAGGACCGGAGTGCTGATGGGAGCGAGCGAGCAGCGTTTGCCGTTCGGCATTTATTTGGCCAGGATTACACCCTCAGCGGCGAAACCGGTACCGAATAACCGGCTGTAGGGAGGCGGTGGCTGCCCTCGCGTTGCCTCTGAGGGACACACGGGCCATTGCCCGCCGGGGCAGAGGAACCGGCTCTGCCCGGTGTTCCGTGGCACCGCGGCTGAACGGAGCGGCGGCACTCCCACCCCTCCCGGCCGCGGAGGGCTCCGGGAACGCGGGTGGAAGAACGGAACCCCACGGGCGCGGAGCCGGGCCGGATCACAGGCACAGCGAGCGAACGCCGGGACACCGGCACCGCACGTGGGCCCTGGGCGGGGGCGTTCGTCACTTCCGGGGCGGGGCAGATCACCGGAAGTGGGCGTTACCCAGTAATCCGTTGCTTGGCAACGGCGCCGCGGCGCAGCCATGGCGGACGATGACCTCATGCCCGTCGTCTCCTTCGGGAGCCTGATGAGCGAGGGGATAACCCTGAGCCGGCGCGGCCAGCACGACAAGGCTCTGGGCTGCTTCAATGACGTGAGGGCGCCGCGCTCCGAGGGCACCGAGATGCCCACGGGCGGGAGGGGCCTCGGGCGGGGCCGCCCCGGCGGATTCGGTTCGGTTCAGGCGGGAGAAGAGGCAGCGGCAAGAGGGGGGGACACGGAGGGACGTGTCCCCAGGAGGTGGTGAACCAGACGGGGCTGTTCAGGGACAGGGCAGAGCCTGCAGCAGTTGTGAAAAACGAGAAAAGACTCTTCAGTAAAATCCTTGTAGTTTTATCTGTCGCTATACGCAGCTTTTTGATGGTAAAAAGAGAACTTTTAATTTCTGACTCCAACATTTATAGATTTCCAAAAGTGGCAGTGGATTGGAGGGTGACAGTGCCACCTCTCCAATGACACTGGACAAACCAACAGCTCATCAAATTTCTCTTTTTCTATAAAAGAATGCAAAACAATAAGTTATTTACATAAAGTATGTGAGAAAGTTCCTTACAACAATGTAAACGTCAGAAGGTTTAGAAAAACTTAAAAAATCAGGGGGACATTTATTCTCAACCGTCATCAAGATCCATGAGGGAGCTGTGGCATCAAATACCTGCATTTGTGTATTTGTGGTGTTGAGCCAGCACAGGTGACATGTCCAGCACAGGTGACTTGTCCCTGTCTGTGGTTCCAGGCACTGAAGCTGAGAGCAGGAGACAAGCACTGCCTCATCACCCGTTCCAAGTGTTTTCTGAAACTTGGGGACACAGAAAACTCCTTGAAAGATGCTGAAGCCTCGCTCCAAATTGACAATACATTCTATGAGGTAACCAGCTGAAAGGGTAGGAGGAGGGGTGGCCAAGGATCTGTGAGACCCTGCAGGGTCTGAGGCAGAGCTGTGAGGAAACTCCAAACCATTTCTGCTGCTCTCAGAGCTGTTGAGGTGCTCAGGCACCTCCAGGTGTGGGGTTTAATGTGTGCAAGCTGTGGCAATGTTCCTCACTTGGGGCTCACCAAATTTGCAGGCAACCCCAACAAGGGAAGAGATGAGAATCTTGACTCCATGTTTCAGAAGGCTGATTTATTATTTTATGATATGTATTATATTAAAATATATACTAAAACTATACTAAAAGAATAGAAGAAATTATTTCATCAGAAGGCTTGAAATGAAAAAGAATGGAATGATAATAAAATCTTGTGACTGACCAGAGAGTCTGAGACAGCCGGACTGTGATTGGCCATTAATTAAAAACAACCACATGAGACCAATCACAGATGCACCTGTTGCATTCCACAGCAGCAGATAATTATTGTTTCCATTTCATTTCTGAGGCCTCTCAGCTTCTCAGGAGAAAAGATCCTAGCAAAAGGATTTTTCATAAAATATGTCTGTGGCAGCAAGCTGTTCCAGCCCTGGGCTCTCACTCAGGAGTTACTTGAGATCCATCAAAATTTTTCCTCATTTTATCAATTTCTTCCCCCAAATGTTGTTTCAGGGGCTTTACCAGAAAGCAGAGACCCTGTATGCCATGGGGGACTTTGAGTTTGCTCTGGTGTTTTACCACCGAGGCCGAAGGCTCCGCCCTGACCTGCACAAGTTCCAGCTGGGCATCCACAAGGCTGAGGAGGCCATTATCAACTGCATTGGGAGTAAGGAGTGTCACTTTCTGCCCCCCATGAGCCTGGACAACGCTGTTCAGGGCACAGCTGGTGACAAATCAGCTCTGCAAGGGACCCAAGAGCCCCACAGCAAACCCTCTCTACTTCTGGGTTCTTGTTCTCTGTGGCAGATAAATCCAGAAGCACCACAAAGACCCAACCCTGCTCCTTTTTTCTTCTTTCTTTCTCCTCTGTATGCTGTTCACACACAGTGCCTGATCCCTTTAGTTCTGTAGGTAAATCCTGACACTCCAGTCTCCAAAATCATAATGGAAACTTTCCAGAGAATACAGAGCAGAGCAGCTCATCTAATCCATGACCTGCCTGTGGCCTCCCAGTACATGAAGGGAGCTGACAAGGAAGTTGGAGACACCCTGGAGTGCCAGGACAAGGGGGAATGGATTTCCACTGCCAGAGGGCAGGCTTGGATGGGATATTGGGAAGAATTTCTTCCCTGTGAGGGTGGTGAGGCCCTGGCACAGAGTGCCCAGAGAAGCTGTGGCTGCCCTACCCCTGGAAGTGTCCAAGGCCAGGTTGGATGGGGCTTGGAACAGCCTGGGGTAGTGGAAGATGTCCATGCCCATGAGAGATCCAATTGCAGGGGATAGAACAGCATGAGCTTCAAAGTCTCTTCCAATGTAAACCATTCTGGGATTCCAGGATTTCATTCAAACCATTCTGGGATTCCGTGATTTCATTCAAACCATTCTGGGATTCCATGATTTCATTCAAACCATTCTGGGATCCCACGATTCTATGATCTACCTGCAGCACTAATGGCAGAATCCATTTTGAGACCTTTATCCCTTTTATTCAAAGCTTGGAATGCAATGTGCCATGCTACCTCAGACTGGCCTCCTGAAATCCTGACTCTCCTCCAGTTTTCATTGCAAAAGAGCAGTGAAACTGTTGACTCTTGTAATGAGCTCTGCTTTCACCATTCTTGGCTCAGATCAGCTCTTGGAGAGACAGAAAAGGCCAAGGACCTCGTGGGGTTTAAAACAAACAGAAAACTCATCCCTTTTCACTTAGATTTTCTGTCAGCCCTGCCAGCAGGCGTGGACAGGACATGTCCCAGTGTGGGGCACAGACCTCACCTGGGGCTGCCACCTCTGCCATGTGAATGGAACACGTGTGAGGGCTCCTCTGGGGCTGCCAAACCTGTGGGGTTGGTTGGAGCCTGTCCCTGCCCAGCTCTGGCACACCCCACTCACACCCCACACACATTCCCAGGTAGGCCAGGGCCTCCCTCTCCCAAAATTTCAAAACTTCAGCCCCTCCCCCTGTTAAACAGTGGCACCAGAGCCTGCAGCACTTTCAGATGGGATAGTTATTAAAAAAAAAAACAACAGGGAAGGTTTCCAGATCTGGCTTGATTTCCCCTATTTCTGCTGCTTCCTGAGCTTAGCACAATGCTCAGATATCATCACAGCTCCAGTTGAAATCTTCCCAGCTCAATATCCTGACCACCTTTGGACCCCCTGGGCTGCAGGCACAAAAATGAATTAAAAAAATAGAAAACTGATATTTAACATAAAACATAACTAAACTAATATAACCAAATTTATTTTCAATCGGTCAATAGCTGTGAGGTGCAGGGAAACACGTGGATGTTTGAACAGTTGGGAAATGCACACACCTAAAGAGGGCACATCCCCGAGCTGCCTCCCTGGCTCTGCCTCACCTGGGTGGGTGGGAACACCTGCCCCTGGGACCTGCCTGTGTTTGTGCTGCTGGTCTGGGCCCCAGGGCAGCTGAAGGGAATCCTGCAGCAGCCTCAGCAGCCCTGTCCTTCCCTCAGACCAAACAAAATCTGTTCCTTCCCAGGGTGCAGACAGATGGGGTAAACACAATGGGCCTTGCCCTAATCAGTGCACAAACCTTTAAAACACCTTTCCTTCCATTTCATGCTCCAGCTGTGATCCCCCAGAAGAAGCTGCACCCTTCTCCTTCAGTTTGCATGCAGGATGCACCCTGTCTGTAGGAATATTGCAACAGGAGCCCCCTGGTGCTGTGTGAATGAAAATCCCAGGAGGAGCTGGTAGCATTCCCTGCACCCAGAACACACCAACACCCCCTATCCCATGGCAAAGGATGAGAAAAGTGCTTGAAACTGAATGTTTTGTGCTTTGCACCTTTATGGGCATTTTACTCCCAACTCACAAATTTACTCAACTCAATTTGTGAGTATTTATCTGATGAGAATTTTTACTTGGTAAATTTCTCACCAGGTGATGCACCTACACTGCTCTCTATAATCTGTTTCACACTTTTGTGGATTCCAGTCTATCCTGAAGTCTGGGAAACTTTCTCCATGGATGAGGGTCAGAGTCAGAGCTCCCCTGCATGGCTGCTGTGCAGCACTAACCCAGACTCCTGTGTGTTTGCAGATCCATCCTCAGTGAAGCTGGAGAGCAAGGAGGAGCTGTGCTTTGTGAGCAGGCAGGCAGAGGTACAGCACAGGGCTCTTGCTGGAGAAGCTTCTGGAGTTGTTGTGATGCTGAAATTGGCCCCAGAGGAGTGGCAGTCCCTGCAGGGATGTGGCTGTGGGAGCAGTGGGCCTACTGAAGGGCCTCTGGAGCATTGAAACACGCTGGCCTGTCATGGTTTGTCACCAGCTTCTAATGCAGGTCTGGCTCAATTCACCCAGAATTTAAAGGGGAAGGCAGAAGGGCAGGAAGAGCCACCATGCAAGAACAAAACCTGGAATTTCTCCTTCACCCCCATGTCTGGGGGTGTTGCCAGCCACCCATCTAATGAGTAACAGCCCAGAGGTCAAAAAGGGCACAGTGAGCTCCAATATTGACTTTGAGTTTACCTGATGTTTAAGGGTCACAGTTTTGATAATGGACACTTTCTTTATTGCTTCACTTTTGGGTGCTCCATTGCAGTTGTGTCTTGTTCCTCTGAGAAGCCAGAATTAGTTCTTACCCTTTCTGTAACACCCTTGTGGTCCCCCAGGGAGCACAATTGGCTGCAGAATTTTAGTTGCTCATGGCCAAAGCATCTGGTGAGACACTGGCTTTTTGCTTTTATTTAAAAAATAAGTTTCTTATATGGAGTATAAACAGAATTCTGCTCATTCCAGTGTTCCCCACTGATGTCCCTCAACTCCTTTTGTTTTTCTCTAGCTGCAGAGCAAAAAGGACAACCAGAAACAGCAAAACAAACCAAAGGACCAAAAGGATCAAAAACACACCAAGAAGCAGAGTCCAAAAACAGAGCAACAGCTTCTGGGACAGCTTTATGCTGACAAGGCATATCTGGAGAAGTTGCTCAAGGATGAAGGTGTTGCTCCTTCTCAGCACATTCTATTTTTCTTTCATCCCTTTTTTATTCTTCTTTATTCCTTTTCTTCTTTTAAATCCCTGGGACTCTTAGTTACCTATTCCAGAGCTCACAGTGGTGAGGACACAGGCAGGTGTCTGCTCATGGGGCTGTGACTCCTCTGTGGGTTTGTTATAAATGCTGTCAAGGTCAAAATGCAGGAATTGGAGAAGTATCTTATTTTAGAAAAAGGCACAAAGATGATGCTCCTTTAGTCATATTTCTAGGGAACTTTTCACCCAGAAATAGAGAAGTGATTAAGGTTTGCTTTGCTCACAGGATTTTTACAGGGTTGCCAGCACTAATTACACATGTGGGCGGTCTGGTTTGCAGGCAGGTAAAAGCCCTCTCACTTTCCATCTGCCAGCCTGATCCACAGCCCCGTTTAAAATGCCCTGTCCATACAGATGTGCCATACAGATGTTCTGTCCCAGAGCACAGGTGCTCAGCACAGCTGGCCCCACTTACTGGGCCCCTTCTTGGCTCTGATCAGCAGAGAAGGCAGCAGACACGAGGCTGGAACACCAGCTCAGCTCACTGAACCACAGGGGTAGCAGAGTTTTATTGTATTTGTGGGGTACCCTGAAGAAGGAAGGAATAGTGAATCTGACTCTATATTCTCAGAAGGTATATTATATTATATTATATTATATTATATTATATTATATTATATTATATTATATTATATTATATTATATAAAATATATATTATATATAAAATATATATTATATTATATATAAAATATATATTATATTATATTATATTATATTATATTATATTATATTATATTATATTATATTATATTATATTATATTATATTATGCTATACTAAAGAATACAGAAAGGACACTTACACAGTGCTAGAAAGATAATAATGAAAACTCATGACTCTTTCCAGAGTCTTGGCACTGATTGGCCAACGAGTGAAAACTCACACCAGAATCCAATGAATCAATCACCTGTGGGTAAACAATCTCCAGACACATTCCAGATGGCAAAACACAGGAGAAACAAATGAGATAATAATTGTTTCCCTTTTTCTCTGGGGCTTCCCAGGAGAAAAGTCCTGGGTGAAGGGGTTTTTCAGAAAATGTGAATGCCACAGGGTTTATTTTTAGCTCCCCCATCACCTCAGCTCTGAGGAGCACAGGACACTTTCATGTCCAGGACTGTCTGTGTCAGAACAGAAAAACGTTCCCAATCAATTCCCCACTGAGCTGCAGCTCAGGTCTGTTGATTCTCACCTCAGTTCTACCTTATCTTATCCCCAGACTTGATGCAGAGCAGCACAAGGCAGGGGGCCAAAGTCATGGACCTGGTTTTGGATGGCATCTCCTACCTGAACCAGCGGCGGGACTTCTGGCAGCAGCAGAAGCCGATTTACGCGCGGGAGTACGAGCGCAAGGCCCTGCGGCAGAGCCGCGCACGGGACAAGAAACAGAAACCATCTGACATTGCCAGATCCATCGCCAAGGAGATGGAGGACATCGAGCTGAGTAGGTTCCTGCCTCTGGGGACTCTATTCCTGAGCTTTGAGGTCTCAGTTCCTGAGTATCACAGAATCCCAAGATGGCTGGGGTTGGAAGGGGCCTTGAAGTTCATCCTGTTCCACTGCCCCTACCATGGGCAGGGACATCTTCCACTATCCCAGGTGGCTCCAAGCCCCATCCAGCCTGGTCTGGAACACCTCCAGGGAGGGGGAATTCACAAGGCAGGGGGTCAAAGTCATGGACCTGGCTTTGGGTGGCATCTCCTACCTGAACCAGCAGCAGGACTTCTGGCAGCAGCAGAAGCTGATTATGTGCACAGGGTCCTGCAGCTGGGCTGGGCACAGGACAAGAAACAGAAACCATCCAATATTCCCAGAGCCATTGCAAAGGAGATGGAGCATATTGAGCTGAGTAGGTTCCTGGCTGTGGGGAGCTCTTTTCCTGAGCTTTGAGGGTCAACCACTTCACCAGGTCTCACTTCCTGAGTATCACAAAATCCTAAGATGGTTTGGGTTGGAAGGGTGTGGTATTTTCTGGGGTCCCCCATGGCAGGAGGGAATGAATCTGACTCCATGTTCTTAAAGGCTAATTTATTATTTATTATAATAAAGAACACTATAGTAAAACTGTAGTAAAGAATAAGAAAGGATACTTACAGAAGGCTACAAAGAATGATAATGAATCTCATGACTCTTTCTCCAGAGTCTGACACAGCTTGGACTGTGATTGGTCATTGAATTAAAACAATTCACATGAAACTAATCAAACAACCACCTGTTGGATAAACAATCTCCAAACCACATTCTAAAGCAGCAAAACACAGGAGAAGCAAATGAGATAATATTGTTTTCCTTTTTCTCTGAGGCCTCTCAGCTGCCCAGGAGAAGAATCCTGGGCAAAGAGGATTTTTCAGGAAATGTGATGACAGAAGGACCTTGAAGTTCATCCCACCCCCCCTACCTTGGCAGGGACACCTTCCACTATCCCAGGCTGCTCCAAGCCCCATCCAGCCTGGCCTGGGACACCTCCAGGGAGGGGGAATTCACAACTTCTCAATGTCTCTGTGTCACACCCCAGTGTCCAACTCTGCTCCCTGTCCCCAGTGCTGGCCAGAGGTTCTGCTGAGCAAAGCTGCAGGAAAGCTGAACGGCTGCTGAAAAAGATACAAGCCTGGTCAGAGAATGAAGTTCCCAACAAGTATGAACTGATTGGGAACCTCCACAGCTGCATTGGGAATGCCCAGTTGGCAATGGGACAGATGGAGGCAGCTTTGCACAGCCATAAGATGGATCTGGAATGTGCCAGGGAGCAGTAAGTTCTTGGAAGTTCAGGTGGGTGGAGAAAGGGGAAAATACCTCTGTGGGGGTGTTTTAGCATTAGGTGAAGTAATCCTCACCTGGGGGGGTTTAACAGGGTTACACATTCAGCTCTGCACAAGTATTAGGGTGTGTGGTGAATTTTTATCTTGACTGTTTCAAAATAAGGAACCTGAAGCAGATTTTTAAGGACCCACAGCATAGGGCACATCAAAACCTCTTCTGTAGCAAAGCAAAAGAACACAAGTCCCAGTCTCAGCACTTTAATCTTGAGCAGGTACTTTCTTCTCAGGAAGATCAGGGTTGAAATTGCTCCAGTTTTCTGCTACATTTTGTCTTAAACTTCTTTTCATAGAAACCATTAAGCATAGCTTGAAATAAAGGTCTCTTCCAGGTGCACTTACCTGTCTGCACCAGACACATCCCACAGCTCTTCCTGCTGAACCACAGTGGAGCAAAACGTAGTCTAAGATATAGCAAAAATTTGCAATACATAGCAGAAATCATGGGACAGTGGCTTGAAGTGATTTGGGACTTACATTTGGCAGTAGTGCACTGAGCTTTTAAAATATCACAGAGTGGCTATTTCTCATTTTCAAAAATCCTTTTGGAAATTAACGTTGGTTTAGGAAAATGCTGCCTCTCTCCTGGTGGTCGCAGTCCCCGAGCAGGCCGGATAAAGGCAGGAATTAGCAGGAGAAGGGGAGGAGATGCTGAATTAGCAGAAGGGGAGGAGATGCCGGCTTTGGGACCTCGCTGAGCCCGAGGTGCCGGGAAGGACGGGCAGAGACGGGCGGGCTGCACCCTCTGGCGGCTGCAGCTGGAGATGCCGCTAATGACTCCTTAATTACTCGAGTTAATTACCCCGTGACGGGGGTTTGAGTCCTTGCGGTCCCTTCCCACCCAAACCGCTCTGTGATTCCATGACTCCCATGGCATTTATCTGCTCCTCGCACAGGCTTTTCTATCTCTGAACTAAGGGCAGGCAAAGAAGCATCTCACTGCTTCTGAAGATGAGAATGAGGATAATTAAAAAAAAAAAAATTAAAGCCCATAGGGCTTTATTACAGAAGGAGCTGCCTGTAGCATGGAGCAAAGCTCGGTCCAAGCACAGGGTCAGATACTGCAGACACATTTTTGTGTCTTTGCTTTGAAAAACAGAAATCATCCATGAGTTGTTCCCACAAAGGGAAACAGAGGCAATGAAAAGTAGAAAGACTTTCCCAAGGGCTGTCAGATTTGCACCAAAATTGATAATAATCAAAGGCACAGCTAAACCATTTCCCCTGTGTCTCATGGGGTCAGCTGCCAGAGCTGTAGATAAAATCAAAAATCAACCTTGATTTCATAACTTTCAGCCTGACCTGGGCCTTTTACTTCCTAACAATTCTCTGAGGGCATGGGGAGCACCAAGGGGACCCTGAAGAAAGGCAGAGTGGGTGAGGAACAGGATGATATCAGTGCCACAATCCCTTTGTCTCCCTGTCCCAGCACTCTGCCGGATGCCGAGTCCCGGGCCCTGGACAACATTGGCCACGTGTACGCCCGAATTGGAAAGTTCCAGCAGGCCATCAACACGTAAGTGCAGCCCAGCAGCAAAGGCATCAGGGCCTGGAGTGACCCAGGTCGTGGTTTTTCACTTGTGTGTTCTCACTGCAGCCAGGCCTGGGGAAATTTTCACACCCGAACCCTTTGCTATCAAATCAGTGTTTGAGTTGTAACTGTACTCGGTGAGGGTTGGTAAAGATTTCTCTGTCTTTCTCTGCTTGAAGCTGGGAGGAGAAGATTCCACTGGCCCAATCCAGCCTGGAGAAGGCCTGGCTGTTCCATGAAATTGGGCGGTGCTACCTCGAGCTGGATAATGCTGAAGTAGCCCAAGATTATGGAGAGCAGTCCCTGCAGTCAGCAGATGAAGAGGGAGATGTGGAGTGGCAGCTCCATGCCACCGTACTGGTGGCACAGGCACAAGGTAAAGATGTGGGCACAGGTTTTGCTCTCAGGGTGGAAAAGCTGGTCTGAAAATTCTCTAGGATTTAACAGCCAAAGCAACTGCTCACATCAGGACTGGCTTGATTACTTCTTGCTGTTCTCCTGATCTTGGGCTAAACCAGCTGATATCCTTGTCTGTTCCAGTGAAATTGAAAGATTACCAGTCTGCAATCCTGAATTTTGAAAGGGCTCTGGAGAAGGCAAGGCTTGTGCCCAGTGAAACTGCTCAAAATGGCATCATTGCGGTAAGGGAGATGGAGGAGGAGCTCTGGGCAGCCTCTGGGAGAAGCTGTTATCCCAGCTGGGATATTCCAGCCAGGAATGCCACAGAAATGCAGTCTTATAGTGGGAAAGGACTTGGTAATGATAGCAAAAGGATTTGGTAATGATAGCAAAAGAAAACAGGAAAATGTTGGGTATGTAGCTGCATTTCTGGGGCTTTTATCAAGAACTTCATCCCTTTCAGGCCTTGGATAACGTGAGCAAAAGCTTCATTGCAGAGCTGAACAAAGGCCACAAAGACGGGACGATTCCCTCACATGAAGGTACTTGATGTTCGTGCCTCTGCACCCAGAAATGGGAAAAACCCCACTCTCCTGTCCTGCACATCAGCAGCACCTCATAATTCCCACAGCACCCATTTCCTTGCAAGTATTGAATTAAAATCTTGGTAGGAGACTGGGATTGCTTCAGCTGCACTCCCAGGTCGGGCCGTGCCCAGCTCCCTGCGTGTCCCCTGCAGGCTGGCCCGGTGTCACCGACATCCCGGCCCTGTCCCAGCCCTGCTGGGGTTCGGGGAGGGTCCTGGCAGGGCACTGCTCCCCTCAGGCTCTGCAGCCCAGCACCTGAGGGCACTGAGACATTCCTGGGGAGGGTAAGGGAGCCCGGGGGCCTTTCCTGTGCCCAGCTGCTCTAGGACTTGGCTTAAGTTTCCTTTCCCCTTCCCAGATCGCCTTTTCAGTAGTGAAAGCATAAAAACCACCTCTGAGAATGTGGAAGAGGAGGAGGAGAAAGGGAATCCAGATGAAAAGCCATAAGAGGAAGCCAGAAACGATACGAAAGCAGAAGAAAAGTTTAAAGGAGGCAAACGGACAAGGAAATAAAGGAGAGCCGTGGGGAAAAGTGGAGCCTAGGCGGGAAATTGAAATAAATATTGAGCAAGCGTCGTACCCAGCACTGCAGTGGTGTGTCCCTAGCAGGGAAGGAGCTGGTCCGAGCCGCCGCCGTTCTCGGAGCGCTGCCTCCCCCGGCCCGGGACTGTCCCGGCAGCATCCCCGGCACCGGGCGGGGCGCTGAGCCCCGGGCCCCCCCGCTGCCCCGGGGGAGGGCTCGGCCCGGCCCTCGGGGGCGGGCGAGTCCCGGGGCTATGAAAGGAGCGGCGGCCGCGCCCGCCCCAGAGCCGCTTCCCCGCCGCGCCGCTCCGCACCGGCGGCCGCCCCGGAGCCGCTGCCCTCACCATGGTAAGCGGGACCAGCGGGATGGGGACTGGCATCGGGACTGGCATCGGGATTGGCATCGGGACTGGCATCGGCATCGCGGCTGCAGCTGCAGCTCCGCCCGGCGAAGGTTCCGATTCCCGGGAGGGCGGAAGCGCCGGCGGCGTTGCCGACACGAGGGCGCAGGGCCGGGGGGGAGCGGAGGCAGCCGGGCCCCGAGAACGGCCCCGGGGCCCGTGGCTCCCTCTCGGGGGTCCCGGGACGCTCTGGGGGCTGCCGGGGCACGGGCAGCACGGGGCCGGCAGCGCTGGCTCCCTCCATGGTGGGGAGAGGAGACAAGCGGGAGCTTTGTGGGGGCGGCTCAATGGGAGATTGTCCGGCGGGACCCCGCTCCCCCGGGCTCTGCGGAGCCTTTGTCCACCCGGCCCGGCCCGTGAAGGCGCCCGTTGTCCCCGAGCCGGCGGCGAACAATGGCCCGGGGGGGCCGCGATTGTTCCTTTGTTCACGGGGCTGAAAAGCGCCTCAGTCCCCTCGGCAGCTGCCGCGGCAGAACAGCGGCCCCGGTCCCCGCCCGCGGGACAGCCCGGTGCGGAGCGGGGACAGCCCGGCCCTGCGAGCCCCTGGCAAGCGGGGCACCTGTGCTGCGCTCCAGGTAACTCTCCGGCTTCCTCCGGTGTGAGCACTTTGAGCCCCGAGTGTGCGGGGAAAGCAGCACCGGGGTGTCCGGGGAGCCCGCAGGTCCCTGCTGCTCTCAGGGGCTCCTTTGTCCCTCAGGCTGCAGCTGAGCCCAGGGCAGGCAGTGCCCGTGGGAAATGTGGGGTCTGCTGTGTGCTTCTGCTCCCGGGGCATTTGGAACCAAAACCCATCTGCACCTTCTGGAATAAAGAGATGGGGAAATCAACACCTGAAAAGTGGGGTTTTTTTGAAAACTGCGAACTGGAAACACATTTTTCTGGCCCTGGCAGAGCAGTTACGTTTTATGTAAAACTTCTCAATTTTTGCATCAAAGGCAAAACTTCTTGGGCATCACTCCCACGGTCCAGTGGATCCCAGGCTGGGCTGGCCCACAGGCAGCCGGGTCATTTATTGACCCAACAAACAATGTCTGCCTCGGTGATGCTATTGAGGACTCGCACAGCTGAAGAAATCCCACTTTTCCTGTCAGTCCTGTGTTTTCCCGGGCTCTACTGGGAATTAATCTGGGATTCTGCTAACCGGAGCTGCTGGCAGGAGGGGAGGGACAGCCGTGCCAGCTCCCAGCGGCATCTCCTGCTCACTGCTGCCAACCGCGAGTGTTTCGTTTCCTCCAGCACTCGAGGTTTCACTTTCGAGTTCTGCCTTGCAGCTGCTGGGAGGGGTTTGGCTTTCCTGGGAGCCGTCTCAGTTGCTTTCCCCAAGAGGAGCCCAGATTCCCTCCTGTGAGGTGCTCAGCTGCTGACCCTCAGTGCAGCTCAGAGAGAGGCAGCAGCGTCCTTGTGGGCTGCTCTAGGGAACAGCCTGGGAATAGAGTTTGTGATTCAGGTGAAGGGACAAGCGTGGCAGCTCTCAACCTCCTGGGCCTTTCAGTTCCCCTTGGGCTCCTCCATGGGTCGCTGCCCTCACATCCGGCAGCCACAGGTGTGTTTGTTCAAGTGCTCAGACTAAATGTACCCCACAAGGAGCTCTGGGGCTTTGTGGCAGCTCCTGGTGCCTGAGAAGCCCCTTCCCAGTGGGGCAGGACTGCAGCTGCTGTGGCCAGAGTGGGGAGCAGGGCTGAACCTTCAGCCCTTGGGTGGGATGCAGTGGATTTCTGCTGTGTGACCAGCCAGAGCAGCTGTGGGAGAAGGAGTCAGCTGAGCAGGGCAGCCAAGTGAGGCCGTGTGGGGGAGATGCTCCCTGTGCCCATCCTTTCCACTAAAGGTCCCAGCAGGACCACATTGTCTCTGGGGTTCCTGCCCTGCAAAGTATTTTCTCCTTCCATTTCAGAACAGAGGCTTTTCCAAGAAGAGTCACCCTTTCCTGCCTAAAATATTTAGAAAAATGTCTACTCAATCAGCAAAAGAGAGACCTGAGAGTTTGCATTTCCCATTCCTGGACGATGAAGACACCATCTCCACACTGAAAGAATCCAAAACCTTTTTCATCCTCCGGGGCCTGCCTGGCAGCGGGAAGTCCACCCTGGCCCAGGCCATCCACGATCGCTACAAAGACGCCTGCAAGGTCATCTCTGTTGATCACTATAAAATCACACCGTTAATCAGAAGCTCCATTCCTGAAGAGTACTCCAAGGTGGATGAGGATCTAGTTGACTATTGCAAACGGGAGATCAGCGTCATTGTTTTGGATGACACTCACCACGAGCGGGAGCGGCTGGAGCAGCTCTTTGACATTGCTGACAAGTATCGCTACAAAGTCATCTTTGCCGAGCCCAAAACCCCCTGGCGCTTGGATTGTCCCCAGCTAAAGGACAAGAATCAGTGGAAACTGTCTGTGGAAGAGCTGAAGAAGATGAAGCCAAGCCTAGAGAAGGAATTCCTCCCCATGTATTTTGGGTGGTTTTTGAGCAAAAGAAGTTCGGAGATCCTGAGGAAGGCTGGCCAGGCATTCTTGGATGAGCTTGGGAGTCTCAAAGCCTTCAAAAAGGAGAGTAAATACTGTATGTATTGATGTTCTCTTACACATTCTTACCTGTTGATGAGTCTGATTAGCTTCTAAAGTCAATTTCTAACACTGCCAACAAGAAAAGCTTTTTAAAGCTGCTAACCTGGTCTTCATAGTTGACAAAGTTGCTTTTAAAGTAAAAATAAATTAAAGAGCTTTTCCTAAGTCTGTTTAGGTCTGGCCCCACAGGGCACTGAGCTCAGGTGGCAGCAGCAGGACATGGGATCCTGGGTGTCCCCTGGTTCCAAGGGGTTGGGTGGGAAAAAGGCAAAGAGAGAGAAATGGGAAAGGCTGGACTGAACAATCCCATCCCTTAGGGGACTCTCACATCTCATCAGGTTTGAGATGAGCCACGATGATGCACGGGAGCTTCTGTTCTCTGGCTCCATCTGCAGTGAGCCTGGGAGGAGGGAGGGGTCTGGTTTCCCACCCTGCAGTCAGAGATGAGATGTCAAGGCTGGAGTAGGGAAGGGAGAGATGGGACCAGGGCTCGTGGGTTGACATCAGGGGCATCATTTTGTGGCAGTGACATTGTTTATCTGTATCTGCAGTTCCTTCTGCTATCGAAGATCCCAAAATAAAAATAGATCTCACCAGCTACTTTGTGAAGAGGCCACCTGGGGTCCTGCACTGCACCACGAAATACACTGAGTTTGGAAAAGCAGCTGGAGCTGAGGAATACGCGCAGCAGGAAGTGAGTGTTGGGGTCCCCTCCCTCCCCTTTGGGGTGTCCGTGAGCCTGGGAGAGGGTTGGGGATGGGCTTTGCTCTGACCCAAGAGGCCAAACATAGGGACAGGAACTACATCCATGTGGCCTGTGCAGAGAAAACTCCAAAGTGTGGACGTGGTGATTTTGTTTCCTATTTCCAAACAAAATACTCCCACTTTCCCTGATCACACATGACTTCCAGCATCATCTCTGACAGCTTGAGCTGAATGATGATGAATTAAGGTATTCAGATCCCCAGATTGATTATTTCAGAGCACATAAGCCCAGGTTAAATATTGGAAAGACATTACCAGCTCCAGATCCACAGAGCTGGCACATCAGGCACTCACCTTCTCCTTGCTCTGGATATTTTGCCCCTGTCACAACAAGAGCTGCCACGAGCAGCCCCAGTGAATCCCCACCCAGAGGCACCAACGCTGTCCCCTGTGTGTGTCCCTCTCCTCCAGGCTGTGAAGGCTTCCTACGGCAAAGGCTTCACCCTCTCCATCTCCGCACTGTTCATCACCACAAAGACTGTCGGGGCTCGCATCGAGCTGAGCGAGCAGCAGCTGCTGCTGTGGCCAGGGGATGCTGACAAGATCCTGCCCACGGACAACCTCCCCCGGGGCAGCCGCGCCCACATCACCCTGGGCTGCGCCAACGGCGTCGAAGCCGTCCAGACGGGGCTCGACCTGCTGGAGTTTGTCAAGCTGGAAAAGGCAGGGAACAAAGGGGAGCAAGTGGGGGAAATTGGAGGAGGGAAACTGCTGTATTTTGATAATGGGATGTGGATGCTTGTGCTGTTGAAAAAGATTGATGTGAGGGCGATATTCTCGGGGTACTATGGGAAGGGAAAGCTCGTGCCAACGCAGAGCACCAACAAACGGGGCGCTGCCTTTAGCTCCTGCACCATCATCTAGGAGCACGGGCAGGGCAGCTCCTCGGTTTGTTTTTAAAAGGCAAGTAACTTCTGTAACCTTTAAAGTGTAAAGAGAAATAATTTCTACCTTTACTAAAGTCAACCCTCCTGCCCACCCCAGCGCGAAGCCTCTGGGGAGTTATCGGCCTCAGAAAAGGAAGAAAACAAGCAACTCCTGACTGCAACTGTAATGTGAGTTTTGGAGGGAACCTGCTGGGGTGTCCTGCTTGTTTTCTTCCTTGGAGAAAGATCAACTCTGGGGCTTTTATTGCTTCCCTCTGAACCACAATCGTTCGATCTTTACCTGTTGGCACTGACCAAAGCCTGGCAGTCGCTGGTCTGAAGCCAAGGGAACTGCAGGATGTCCCTCCCCTCCCACAGCCAGGGACTGACATTAACCATTCTGGCAGCTGAGTACAGGGTCAGAACTAGCGAGACCCAGGCGTGGCTCACTCCTGTCAGGAG